GGCGCAGATTACACATTCATGTACAGTCCTATAAGCACCCACACGCCGAACTATTACTATTCCGCACACAAAGCAAGGGAAAACGCGGATGTTTCCAGAAAGGATGTGACCAGGTTGTCGGGCCACTACAAACATATATATACACGTAGACCTACAAAGATGCAGAACCGAGGTAAATACAGCATGTCCCAAAAACACGCTTACTCATTATAATATGGAACTATTACTACTACTTTTATAGTTTAAATGCGTCATGTTTGTGTTTTAAAATTCAAATATATCATATAATTCAAGTCTATACACAAACTTTAAATTGTTGATGTTAAAATTTAAAATTAATATTGATATTTTGCGCTATTCATCGTTATTACGATGTTACAGTATTGCGCTTTATACTACTACATGTTTCAATGCATAGCATCATAATTATTACTACTACTACTACATTCTGCTGTGATTTTAAATCGTTTAAAAACAAAAATATTAAACTGAATTACATATGACCGGCGAATTAAAAAAAAAATGTGGCACTGATTTGATGTGACGGTTGCTATGGTGTTTTATTTTAATTTATCTGCGGTCTTCGCGTTTTATTTCACAGAGTGGATTTTTTAACTGTCACGCCAATATGTGGCAGGAAGGCCAACTAGACGCAATCTGATTTATCTCCAGCTCCACACACTTGACATATTTTTCAAAAGACGACCTTGTCCGTTATTAACAATGCAGTCCGATTTAAATTTTAACGCATATTAAAATATCCCATACGGAACACTTCAGCATGCATTCCTTGTAAAGATCTGTTTATTAAAGTTTATTTCCGAAAAATATACCGATATAAAAAAAGTAGACCAACTCGTATTTTCATTTTGAGTCTAGTAATTTCCGTCTTGATAAGTTAACTTAATAAAAACACAATCTTGAAAAGGTCACGGCGACACACTGGTTTGAAAATACAATCTCTAGTATGAATTGCCACGGTCATCTGTCATAAATCAGACCATCAGACCTCTTCCGGTCCAGAATTGATTCTAAACCTATTAATCATTTAGACTTATGGTAAAACTCCTTGGGCTGAGGATCAGACAAATGCAATGGAACTGCTACCTCCATTATTAAGAATTAGGCCGTCTGGCGTCGGCCTGAGGATGGAGGCAACAGCACCTCTGATAAGTCAGCCAATTTCGTCCAGACCACACGCAACAAACCCAGAACACAGTCTACTTCACAAATCCCGCAGTGAGAACCTGAAATCTCATCAACTTTCCTTACTTGCAACCTATTAGACTTACTTATCGGCTATCTGTAAGAATATAACAGTTCTTTCTCTATCAAATCTAAAACTTCTTGACGATGGTGAAGAGTCAATTGAATAAAAATTTCCTTGGATATTATCCATCGTCTAGTAAATATAAAACGTAAAAACGACGTTTCGGAGATGGGACTCTATCTCCTTCTTCAGGTTCCTACACAGTTGGGCCCACTAGATAGAGCTAATCCCTATCTCCGGAGAACCTGAAGACGGAGATAGAGTCCCATCTCCGAAACGTCGTTTTTACGTTTTATATTTACTAGACGATGGATAATATCCAAGGAAATTTTTATTCAATTCTTTCTCTCTTAAAGATGTTAGCAAAGGAGAACCAAATGTTCTTAGTAATAAATACATTAATATCGAAAGCGTCCGAGAGCCAGACACACGATATGTATTCCGGGACTGCAATCAGACTAAAACAGATAAATCTGTCGGTATTTCTAACGATCATAGCGAAAACAAAATAAACTACCGTTAAATGCTTACCCTTGTTGCATCTGTTCCCACCTGCGACGTCAACATTCCCTCATATCACACCCTTTTGTAACCTAGCCACCAAGAGCCTTGCGGAAAAAGGTACAAATACCTGACGATGTACAGTTAAGCGACGCTGAATGTTGTAATGACCACGAAATGTTTAACTTAACAAAACTAAATAAACGGGATTTGAGGCTCGCCTCATTGCGGCGAGTATGAAGACGGCTGTCTTCTGGGTTGTATCGCCGCGCGGTCTGGTAGAGGTTTGTCGGAGGTACTTGTTGCCTCCGTCATCAGGACGATCATAGCTACAACTAAGATGAAGACGTGGAGGTGGCTTTCGCCCGAATAAATCGAGAAAATACCTAATTCAGAATCTGACCAAGTCTGAGCACCTAAGTTGTACAACTTGCTAGCTTTTTAAGGTGACGTGCTGTTAGCCCCTTCAGAACCCCAAAGCTAGAAAATCATTCAATGTCTGCTGTCAGCAACCACTTATTCGGCATTCTCATAGCTGTCATCCATGTCTGGAGGTCGTCTCGCCTATTTGTAAGATTAGATTTGCAAGTGCAAATCTAATGTCGTGAACTTCGTCGCTAAGTCGAAAAATATTTTCTTATACTTCGTTAAATATTTACCATATCGAAAAATGCTTCAGATAAAAGCTTTAAACGTTCATGAAACCTACACATTAGACTTTCGGTCTATGGTTCTTCGGGTTACAAAGAGTGGCACAACGCTTTTGAAATTCATCTAAGCTCAGTGCGATGTGCCATGGGATTCCCCATGTCACAAGAGCCAATCACACATCAGCAAGTCGAAACCTGTGTTATAGTGAAGTCAAACATGTGAAACCATTTGTAGCCCGAAGGGATCTTGTAATTCTACAATCAACTGGTTATGCTGTTAAGGAAATAACTATTGTCTGCTCCGAGATCTTTCTGTGAGGAACATGAAGTTACTGATCACTAAAGCAGGTGGTACATATAATTACCACTTGGGTTCAAGGGGACAACAATTCTGAACAGAAACAGGGGAGAGGGTCTTAACCATGAAATATTAAGATGAATAAAAATACAGAATCATAATTAACTGATATGTGGACCTACAGAGTAAAGACAACGTTTAGGAGAAACACACTGTTTCCATCATCAGGGTTGCTACGCCGCTCCCATACTTTCAATTCGGGAGAAGCAAATCCCTGAACTACGTAAAAATGAGATCTGTGAAACATTTTCACATCATATATGCAATTAAGATTAATTACAACACAATAGCGTTTAGGGTAATACGTAGGTTTTGATTTCCTGAACATGTTAAACACACAAATCTGCCCTAACGGCGAATTATAGTCGACTGCCCCTGGAAACTGGAGGAAATTACACAGAGACACCATAATCTTCATTCTCTGCCAGATATTATTAAAGCCGTCAAATCAAGAAGGGTACGGGTGAGGCACGTAGTTTCTCAAAAATAACTGCTCCATGTACGTTACTTAAGAGCGTATTATTGGACAAACGTAAATTCACTTTAGACAACAATAGACCAACGACAAACGCAAAATAAAAATTCTGAAGAAAATTTTTCCCTTCAGACATTTATTACAAGATAAGCCTGCAAGATAAAATTTATTAAACTGCCCCACCCGATTCAGTCTTGAAAGAAAATAACTGCCAACACACACACAGAAGAAACAAAATATCCCTCGTAGGATTTGAGGTTTTCACAGCGGTCAGTCTGAAGATTGCTGTCTTCTGGGTTATTGCGCCGTGTAGTCTGGTAGATTTCCACCAACGTTTCAGAGGTCATACTGCCTCCGTCATCAGGGCGATTAAACGTTGGTGGAAATCTACCAGACTACACGGCACAAAAATATCCCTCATCGCCCAAGATCTGAAAAGTCGACAATGCTGACAATGACCTGAGACTTGCAGATAACCTTGCGTATGTTTTTGTTCCTTTGTTTGTAACTGTGCATTTGAAATAAGTCTGATCCAATGAGGAGGAACCATTATTATCCGGAATAATTAATTTATATAAAATTAAAACAGTGTGGGAGACTGCACGGTCAAATTCCACGTGATCTTTAGGAAATGCATTATTTGGTCAAATTAATTTAATTAAAACCGACTTCACAGTTCTCAGCATAATGCCCATATCATTAAGAATCGGCGCAATGCAAGCAATCCATCCCTTGGCCTGAAGCTAACAAACAATGTAACAAAGTCTCAATTATTTGTGTCACACTATAAGCAACACATCTTACAGACCAACAGAAAAAACTGCACGCCTAATAAATAACCCGATATTTCATTATTTTGCTAACTATATAAGCAACACATCTTACAGACCAACAGATAAAACTGCACGCCTAATAAATAACCTGATGTTTCACTATTTTGCTACTGCGGTTAGGATATACCAGTTTTACAAGAACAAGTTAACAGTTGCCACCGGCGACTCCTTCGGACTAAAGTTGTGAGCCAATTATAAAAACCTCTGCTAATTCTTGACAAGATTTCGGGGTATCGCCCTGATAATGTGGGAAACAAGCACACCTGAAACGTCGGTAACTTCCGCCAGAATATAAGAGGCAACATCGCACAAGGCAGTTATCTTCAATATTATACCTTCTCCTCTCAGGCTTTCGCGGAAAAATTGCAATAGACAGGTTTATTTTGCTTTAAAAACTAAATATCGCAAAAGCTACCTAACAGGAAAAAAATTCTCGATCTATGTAATCAATAGCAATGTGTCGCTGTTGTCCCAACAGTACTACAATTATTGTATACATTTTTTTTAAAAAATCTACACCGCTAATATAAAAAACTGTCATATCTGTACAATCAACCGCAGTTTGTCACTAATTATACCATACTTACGATATTGGCCTATGTCTAAAAAATCTCGGAATGATTTCTACCCGCGAGAATTCGATGTTTTCTAAATTGCTAGTATAAAAACCTGTCAAGTTCATAAACTTGTATTCCGAACTGTTTCTTTATTTAGGACAACTACAGACTTTGCACATAACACAGAAACTATATCCAGTAACCTGACACAAACAGCTTTAGTTCAAAGCATTACAAATTTTATTACAGCAAATGAAAAGCTTGTACGACAAAAATCGATGACTGGCCTTGACAAGGGAGAAGCATGGCTACCAATATTAATCGAATTTAAACATGTAAAACAAATGCTGACATACCTCAACATAACTGTAAACTCCTCTTGAAACAAGAAGAACACAAATGAAAGCCCAAAATCTGGTTAGTTCAATCATTTCGGTTAAGTTTTTACCCGTGAAAGCACGCCACACCCGCCACTACACTTTATCACCAACTTCTCCTCATCAGAACTGCGGCTAGCTGTGATGGCGGACAGACAACAAATGCAATGGCACTGCCTGTCTACCATTGCGCAACGCTCCTGCGCATATGCTCGCAGCCATTTTGGCGCTATAAATCAAATAGCTTAGTGCAATAACCTGATTATAGAGGCAGTAAGCACCGTTGAAACGTTAATTTATATCAGATTGCAAACCACAATGTCCCAAAATACCGTCATTTCCAAGAAAACCCCAAATCTCAAGTAAGAATGATTTTTTATCTTCACTTGAAGTGCAAAATTATTATTTGTTACTTACTCCATAGCACTACAGTCCTGGAACGACGAGTGATAAGCCTGTACCGACAGAGGGTAGCATAATACACGAAGACGAGGACAAACAACCACGCAGTGAGCGGGATCCGAACCATGATCCCATTGTCCGAACCACCAAAGCCCATGCACTAATATTATTATGCACATGTTTAAAACACAATACTAACTACAGCAACAAAAATACGGGGAGAATAGGAGATGAAGTCACATTCTCATTAAAAATTAAGTCCAACGAAGCGATATTTTCCCACATAGACGGTCTTCAAGATGCAGGATCCAACATGAACATTAATTTTCATCCTAATTATGTACAGTCGCACTAGTGAATATTAAAAGCCTTTATTTCATGCTTTTATTAGATCTATTTTCCAATATATACCTAAACGTAAATTCTTAAAAAATATATCGCTTTCAGTTTTAGAGGCATTTCATCTACAAGGGAGAAAAACAGGTAACTAATCCTTACAATCATTAATATAACTGTCATAATTCGTACAAGAAACTAAAAGAAGCAGCTTTAAAATCACCTGAATCATCGATCACTGTGTCTCACAATGTCATGATCTTCGTATTAAATCATTTTCCGCAAAATTCGATGGTCATAAATGCTTAATATGGTACAGATCTTCTGTCTCTGTAAGGGAATTCAAATGGAAATCCAATAGATGTGTCCTTCTACGACGCACCTTTAAATAAGTTTCAGTTGTTTGAAATGTCTTTACATCGTGGTAAATTATAATTAACATTTTTGCTGCGATGCACCAAGTATTTTTTACACCCCTGTGCCTGCTTTTTGAAACAAACAAACCAGTAATTTTCCCCGGTTTATCTCTCCAAGAGGAATATTTTTTGTTTACCATTATTACGAACCGCTGTTGTATAAGTTTTCAGACACCCACGTGACTAATTTTTGATATATACAAAAGTCGATCATTTTTCTGGGGTTTCCCTTTGAGAAGATCGTTTCTTGCTTTTTGTAATTTTTGTATGACTCGTTGTTAGGAAGAAACAGGTTACCACGGACGATTTGTTGACTACGGCTGTGTATGTGTGTTTTACAAAACAGTTGAAGCCGAACAAATTTAATTTCATGCTAATATTATAAATGTTTTCTGACATTGGTTCTACGAAAATCTAATTCACAGCGACAGAATGAAACAACTCAGTTCGGCGAGAGGTGTTGTTAACAACGTTAACCATTTCTGACGTACATTTCGTTTTTAGTATTTCAATTAATATTAACACAGTTTACTTTGAGGGTTTGCGTGTTGACAATACTACGAAGGGAATCACGATGCGCTTTATATATCCGCAAAAGTTCATTTGTGGTAGGCGTTTATATTAGATGTAAGGGGAATTTCCCAAGAGGGAAAGAAATATTACTATTGACCTTTTAGGAAAACGCTATGCAGTCGCTGGGAGATAGATTCTTCCACGAAAAGGAGTTTAAAGGAACATCCGCAATTCTTTACAGGATTAATCGAGTGGGATTACAGCTTCCAATACAAATCCGTTGTTTAAAAGAAAACAAATTACAAATAAATGACTGTGCTTTGACGTTATCAGTCTCTGATTTATTTTGCATTACGGCTTTCGATGTAAATGACATTCAGGACAGCTTCATGACATTACACAGTTAATATGGAGGAACGAAGTTATGAACTTAGGATATAAGTTTAACAGAAAAAGAAACACCGTGATTCATTCAGAGAACCTGGTATTGTTAGAACAGTGACATCTAGGAGGCTACGATGGACTGAGCATGTAGCTAGGATAGCTGGTCAAGGAATGTCTACAGAATTTTGATGGGAAATCTTATTAGAAAGAAGTTGTTTGGAAAACCAGCAAGAAAAGTGGATTATATAATATGAAGTCTTATCTAACGGGGGGGGGGATGATGTAAATGAATCAAAAGGGTCGTTTCCAAAGGCAGTGGGTGGAAAAATAAATAGCCCCCTTCAATGCAACTGCAGGGTGGGTACGAGATTTTAAGAATGAACAAAAAAAAATCAGACAGAAACACCTGAAAAATTTGTTGGAATTAACGACACTTCGACGTTTGGAGTAAGAGTAGCAGCTGCTAGATTTTCTTTTAAACAGCTAAAATAATCCGAAATCACTCCTCTCTATCTCGAATGGTGAATAAAGAATGAAAATAAATGCAAATATTTACAAATAAATAAAAATTTACTGCTTCCAAAGCCATTGGAGTCATAGTTGTTGATTCACCGTTGGAAAACACGCTACAAACTGAACTGAAAGTGGAAAACAAAATTATATTTTAAAAAGAAACAGTGGAGTATCGACATCTAATACTTTGGTCAGAAGCTGTAGGAGGGTCCACTGCCATACTGCAAAACCGGTGAATAGGAGGGGGGTTGAATCGAGGACTCCCCCTCTGCACTTTCAAAAGTAAACATAAAAGAGTAGGCTACCCTGGATAACCATCAAAGTATCTCCGAGTCTCCTTACATAAATCAACCACACTGACTTTCAAGACCGAACAACAACGAACAACGAAGGAAGGCTCTGTGCATAAATGTGTTTTACTCACAGAGCATTTACCCTGTGCATGTGTTCATCTTCATGTGTACTATGCGATCAATACCAAAGTCGCTGATTTATCGTTTATGTTCATGGAAGACAACATTACCGCTGAACTTATATAAAAGCTGTGTAGTACGTTATCCCTGCTACACGATACACATTTCAGATCATCCACAGACACCACAAGCTTCGCAGTAATACGCAGAATATAACTTAGCAGAACATTTCGTTTGTACATGTCTCTGCACGTCCATAAAATCCCAGATGACATGTCACAAGAACGCTCGTGCTGAGTAGTGAGTTACTGTAAGGACGGACATGGAAAGCACTTATTGCAGTATCGCCGTGTTGATGCAGCAACTTCTCCGACAGCCGTGCGCAGAGTGAAGGCTAAACAAGACGCTGCAGGCGTTTAAACAAAAATTTCCTTACGTACGATAGCTGAAAACAGTCTACCAAGAGAATTTAACAACCACTCAGCTAGCCAACAAGGTTATCACCTTTGGTTGATACAGAAGATTCATGCCTATGTCAACAACAAGACACTACTTCTCCTTCCCTTATTCAAATTAATAAAGCCCACACTCATTTTAATATTATCCTCCCTACACAATGGCATCATCCTTCAGTTTTTCTGAAGGAAACTTCTTATAAAATTCCCGTCCATCTCACCCTCTCAAATTTGATCGCCCTAATAATATCTGGTATCGGTAGACCTTTTGTAACTCTTCATTATACATTTTTCTGTGTCCTCCTGTCACTGAATTCCTGTAAGGTCCAAATATTAACCTTATCAGCCCGTTCTGACATGCTCAAGCTATGTTTCTCTGAAAGCCCTGTGGCGATGGTTGGTCCATTACACAAATATTATATAATATTACCCGCTCAATAAAATTCAGGAAATTGGTAATATCCAGCATAATACTCTTATAACCCTATTTGCATAATCTTCCTCTAGGGTTAAAGACGAAGTTACATATTTTGTCATTAGCTTTCTATGCAGGATTAAAGAAAATGAAGGTGTGGAGAGGCTAGACATGTAGTACAAAATGCGTACAAAATAATTTAGCAGAAGTTTTGTCTACCGGAAAAATTAAACTTTTATTCCATTCGAAACATGTTTGGATTATTAGCTATCCTGGCGGGTTTCTTCAGCCTGTACATGAGAGATTATGACCGCTACCTTCCAGATCCATATCTATTCATCAATATTTCTCATGTTTTCATCTTATTCAACGCTAAATACCCTTCAGTTGGAACTACGTCGTTAAAGAACTTGAGACACAGTCAATAAATCACACAGAATAAGTTTCCTTCGGACATGAAAGATTTGGCAGTCACTAAGATATGTAATCAATCACTAAATCAACAAAGAATGAGAAGTTCCAAGACAAACATCGTCTCACAAGCGTAACTGTCGTTCTTGTATCATCTCGCATGAAATTTAACAAAGACCGGTGTCTGTATTGGCGTCTTTGTTTTGTTAAGTGTAAACATGATGGTCTCACGGAACACGACGAAACAAAGACGTCTGGCGTCCTTCCATTTTATTCTGCAGTACTTCTTTTTCTAAAGAGAAATTGATCGAAATCAAGTGCACATCAGTTTATGAAGAAAATTATATATTTTAATCATTCAGCTAACCACTAAATTGAAAATATGAACGTAATACTCTTTTTAGACCTAACTTCACACGCCGTTCACAATGCAACTACATAATGGCGAACAGATTCAATTCATTTTATAAATGGACCTATTTTTGTATCCAACTAGAATGAAATATATGTAACAGACAACAATAGCGCTTTATTTTCCAGGTTTATACATTTTTTTTTCTCGAAACAAATGAAGCTCAGGTGCCGCTTAGCAACGCTGAGTCACCACAATGCGGACCGATCAATGCAGTTACTATAGAAACGCTTCAAATGTCGAGTGAGTGTGAGAATGACGAAGTTTTACGTTTCCTGCGGAAACCACGCAGAAAGCTCTTTAGTTCTCATGATCTTTAGACCAAATTCCAGTACCTTACAATGTGTTGTTTATAAACTGCAGCTTTCAGTATACGTGTCCTGCTTTTAGCCATTAAACCGTACAATTAGTTTTTTAAAAAAAAGTGTACCATAGGCTGGAACTCTATTTACAAGTGCAATTTAAACATGTAATCCGGATTATTTTGAGTTATGTCAGTTTTGAATGGAAGAAGATTAATGTATTTGATGCCGTTTCTCTCTCTCTCTAAACAGTCATTAGTACAGCAATGCAAAACGTGGCATGAGCTGAGCCAGACCTAACTTCTATTTTAATGAACATCAATGTTCAAAAGATTAAGAAATCCTTGCATGCGATTACATTACCGAACAAAATATAAATGGCAACATTTTACAACATATGTAGTCGCTGTCTCCATCAGGAAATCAATTCCTTGGCATTCTGTTCATATTTTATCAACGGCTTTATACGTTTAGTCTTGAAAACGTAACATAAGCTGAGAAAAGGAGTAGCAAAATGTCCGGTCGAATTCCGATTCAATCTTAAACACCTTTTTACAGCACTTCTCTCTGAGGTAATGTCATCAATAAAACACAGATCAATTTTAACTCAACCCGTCTGGATTAATTTGTTCCCTTTTAAGAAATAGCCGAGGAAACCTGAAACGGTAGCCCGTAAAATCTGTTCTGATCTGTAAATCGAGCACGTACAGTTACCGAAACGGTACAGGACTCACCCAAATACCAAGAGAGAATAATAATAAGATGGATGAAAAATGTCCTAAGATGCAAAGTAGTGGAGGAAGAGTAAGTTAAAATAAAATAACTTCTCTCTCTCTCTATATATATATATAAACACACACACACACACACACAAACGTAATAGGCCTACACATACACATTATTGCATTCATAAAATATAAATCATCGTTCAAGAAAGGATTTGTCACAACATTCTGAGATTCGCAAACTTACCATTCAGAAAGACCTAGGTGTAGATAGGAGGATAATTTTAAAATGGTGTGAACTTGTAGATGGACTTAGTGTTTTGGGCTAGGGTCTAATGACAGCAACAAAGCTTCAAGTTTCATAAAAGGCTCGCAAATTAACTTCTCAAGGCCTCTGCTTCACGTAGGTAGTTTAGAATGAGTCCGGAATATGATCTTTCTGTAATAATTACATTTAGTTTCAGTGTAAGCATGGCGATCCCTTTAGCATAAGATCAACTCTGTATACGCAATGTACTCTACGATACACAATGTACTTCAATGAAAATATATTTGCAAATGTGTCATTAGAATTTTGCATCTCTGACTGGTCTTACCTGTATTTCTCGCAGAGACAACACGTCTATCAAGGAATTTCTTCTCTTTATATTTTATTTACTAGACGATGGATAATATCCAAGAAAATTTTTATTCAAATTTCTTCTCTTCTTGTGGAACACGACAGCCACCAATTTCCTAGGATTAAATCTCTCTCTGTGATGGATAATGGGAAAATAAACACATACAATCTGTAGAATTTAATACATGCAATGATACAAAAATAAAACAGTACATTACTTTGTACCATCCGTATGTCATTTGAACAACACTACTGATTATCAATAACAAATTACTGTAATACAGAAACATAAAGCACCAATCAATAAAATTCTGTTCTTGAGACAATGTTATACAGCTATATGGAACAATATAATATATAGTTATGAGAAACTGCGTTAACATTTAGGCACAGGGATCACTCTTAATACCTAACATATCACATTCTGACAATCTTAACAGAATAACCAAATTAAACAACATGCAATGCTGTTCTCTATGAAATTTCACTGCCATGACATCAACACCCAAATCTTAGCATCGATGCCAACGAAATCGAAGTGCCAACCAGACATGAGCTGGAAGACGATGTTTTAGCAGGTTGCAGGTTTATAAGATTACAATTTTAATTGCTTAATAAAGAAAACAGAGGTGTGGAAGACAGAGGGAGTGGCAGTGTAAGTTAAACTTCCTGCTAGAACAGAAACTGAAAAAGAAATTACACACACATAATACAATCCTTAAAATCCCCATCTCCCATAAATGTGGCAAGCCCACACTGAACCTTCATTCAGAAGTTTTAACTACCAGTTTTAAAACCAATAATCCAGTTATTTAAATTTTGTCTTTACTTGTTTTATACTTCAAATGTTTTTTTCCACAGGAAAACCTAAAATAAAGATTTTGATAAATGCGGAGCATACCTCAGGAAGTTAGCAATAACCATTACGTTCAATAGCAATTATAAAAAAACAGTCTGACTTCAGTGAATGAAAACTGTGCTAAGATGTTAAGGGAATTAATGAAGAGATTAATAATCATCTGTTTGCTGTATTCCTATACAGAGTTAAAATATTTATGGATAGAAATAACTACCATACATATATTGGGCAGTACATAATGCATGGAGTGACAGATGAAGGCTGAGCAAATATCAAAACATCTTTTCCACACAAAGAAAAATAAAACTGTTCACATTGGGAATGTAACGTGCAGCAGCTACAAGAAATAAGCAAAGTTGCGGTAAATTTTTGTACTGCAAGATTATGCCATGCCTCAAAATTCTGCAGAAGTTAAAAGAAATTAAATTATAAGCAGGATGAACATTTTATAACTTTGATTTATGGGTGGCTTTTACCAGACTGTGCTAAGAATAACAGATTCTTAGCAGTTTCAGAAAGTACATAAGAACACTCTTACACTTTTAAAATAACGACACGCTGTGACATTATCGAAATGCTGATTTGATTTCAATACCACATTAATGACTGTTATGGTTGTATGCGTGAACTCCAAGTAAAGAAGGGGAGTGTCACAGTTGATGACCACGTGTTTATACCAAAGACATCCAAGGGTTACACATTCAAGGCATACTAAAATGCTACGATAATTTTTACAGTACTAAAAATAATCTTTTGTTGTTAATGTCTCCAAGATGACTAATACATTTAATGGAGATAAAAGCAACAAACAGAAGAACTAATGACAACGTGAAAAAATAAATGAACTTGAATGTGGTAAGCGAAGGTAAATTAATGCATTTTCTAAAACTCAGCAAATCTAAATCACGACTTAGCAAAGGAATAATATTTCAGTATATGTTTGGTCTGTCTACACTAGTGTAAACTCTACGAACAACTAAATTAAAACATATGCAGAAATCTTATTATTTGTATTTAAAACATCAAAATATAAGAAATATCAACAGTTTGACATAAATGTTGGAAGGGAAGAATTAAAAGTTTTTCTTTTTTATTAATCTAGAAAGAAAGCTGACTAAATTCAGTTAAGAAACATGTGGAACTGAGACAATCAAACTAAACAAAACTTAGTCATGCCCATACAAGACATAAAACTCAATCAGTAACAACATTTGTAGATACTCAGTCCAACAACTAATTTATCTACTCATGAATTTTACAAATTAGCAATCTTGGTATGAAATGCAAGACATCTGAACAGAAGACTAAATTGATACAATGCAGGAGTGACGATGAATACAAATATACTCAATCCAAGCCCGAGAGAATACAGCAGAAACTTTCACTCCGCAATTTGAAATCCTTGCAAAGTCTGGCGCAAAAGGAAAATTTGACAAAGTATGGTATGTATTTGACCTTGATTCCAATCACAGTTCGAACAATGCTGCGTCTAGGGCTTAAATTTGACAATTAAGAATTTAATACACAATAAGTATGTGGGTACAATATTAGAAATATGCCACGTATGATTTAATTACATGGCGGCCACTCAAGAAATTTCCATGGATAAATCTCCTTGGCAACTCACCTGAGTTGTTACAGCAGTCTAGTCAACCTGTTCACAGGAATGTTGACTGATTATTTTCACTAGTGGCAAGACACTAGTGCTTAAACATTCTTAATAATCTCCTGACATCAGTATGAAGTCTTTTTATAAGGTATCAATAAATCAGCTCATGCTGCAAACTTTTGCAACTTTAAGTTCACATGTTACAAAGTTACAAGAAAGTGCTAATCAAATATTTTTAACAGCAGTGCTTAAAAATCGAAAATACCATATGTCTGATATTGCCAAGCAACAAATCTTATTTTCAAATATTAATTGACGTCTTCATATCAACTGGATTTCTGTAAATCAGCATATCAGGCAAGGCTATTCTGTCAGCATTTCATAAATTATAGATATTATTTTTTAACGTGGAAAACAAAACAATTTGCAGCAAATGACCAGATTATGAAATGTTTTGTTCCACAGACCCAATTCTTTACCAACTCTCAAACAGCCAACAATTTAACCTTCACTGTTTTCTCTTCCTAAATATTCAGTCGTCCTCTTCCTCTATTGAATACCATTTTGCTAGATGTAGCCACACCCATCGGTCTTGCTCCAAAAGGCTGATTGTTTGGACCAGGTGTTAGAAGCTGCATCATATTATTCATATTGCCAACAGCTGGCATCTGGGTTTGAGCGGACTGGTAGTTCTGATGTGTCACACTCTTAGGATCAACTGTAGATGGAGAAGGCATCAGCACTGAATTGCTGGTCTGATCCCCATGATGTAATATCAAGGTTGAAACATCTGGCAAGGAACTAACTGTAGTGTCCAGGTTGATACTTGCATTTGGTATTGGTGTATTACGCACAGAAAATGTCTGGTCCATTCCTAACATTGATGGACCCACCATTTGAGGAACAGATGGGTTTAATAAAGCATTATTCTGCAGAAGCAAATCATTGTAACTTGTACAAAATCCTCCAAGTGTTGCCAGCATTGACGCTGAATGTGTTTGTTGAGCTTGCAACTTGGGATCTGGTTGTGTATTTGGTAATCCTGTAGAATTCATGACTGCCATTTGAAGCAGGTAGTTCATGCTCATAATATGCTGCTGTTGTTCTTGCATAAACAATTCAAAGAGTTTTTGGATGATAGCAGCTGGTACAGGCTGACATGCCTGATTTGGAACCTGGCACGCAGTGTTACATAAATGAGGCGGCATGCTCATACCCATCAATGCAGGTAATCTGCTGGTACTGTGACTAACTTCAGCTGTGGAAGTCACAGGTGGCAAGAAGGAACTGGCTGCATGATGGAACTGTGAAGCAAAGGTAGGAGAATCCACAAGTGGGCTATGAGTTTGTTGCAGATGAGCATCATGAATTTGAGTAGCAAAGGCCTGCGCAACATCTTGAGGGCTCTTTTGTACAGACAATGGTTCGTAGTTGAAGAACTGCTCAACAAGCATCTCAGAATAACAATGATTGTCATTTTTATCATGAGGTAATATTGTGCTATCAATGCATTTACCCAAATCACTCTGCACCTTATTTTTGGCATCAGTAAACATACCTGTGCCAGAATCTTCAGACTCCTTGCTAGAAAAGTGCCTCATAATTCTCTTTTCTGGTATTTTCAGTCTCTCATCTCTCCCAAAGCTACTTGCCTTTTCTGCCTTACAAATCCTAGCACCCTGAGACATATGATCACGTTTTTGCACGCTACTATCTCGTTTTGTTTCTCCATCCCATTCATTATTCTTCTCAGTCTTCCATACTGTATCATAGCAATAAACAGATTTGTCATCTTCTACATAGTTTTGATTTCCACTCTCAGCATTTTCTTGATAATACTTATCACCCTGTGATCTCCCTATCCTCACATTTTTAGGTACAGGATTATGGTCACTATGAAACTTCTGATTCTCAAACAGAGCCTTCTCTTGAATCCAGTCAGTCGGTTTATGAGTGCTGATATCACTGGCCTGAGGCTTGTACATCTGTGTCATGCTCTCTCCCTGGTTTCTATAAGACCCTGACAAACGTTCCCCGACGTTCTCATAATGGTCATCACTCTCACTCCAGTCAACCTGTTCCTGAGTCCTGCTGCTACTATCCTGAGGCACATATGTATGAGTCTTGCTCTCTCCCCAATTTGTAAAAGGATCAGATACAGAATTACTCTGGTTTTGATCATGTTTCTTAATTCCACACTCATCATCATTCTTGAGTGGCCCCCATATTCTTTCATCACATTCTCTTTTGACATGATTCAAATCACTGATTATGTCTTTGTAACATGAGTCAGATTCCAATCTGCTACTTTTACTCTGACCATCCTCTCTGGTTCCACAGTGGCCTGTGGATCCATCCTTTTTGTCAGTTGCCAGATTAGTTTCATCATTATTTCTTGGTATATATTTCTTTTGCCCACCCATTTTCACACTTTCTGACTCTTTGTTCAATTGTGGTTTCTGTCTGCCATGATGTTTTTTACTGTTTTCTGGGTTATCTTTCATCTGATCAGCTACTGTCAGTCTCTTCTCCAAAATGCTGAGACTTCCAATCTGCCCCATTTCCTCAGGACAATCCCATGACTCGTTCTCAACTGGCTCCGGCAATGGCAACTGGATTCCAGCATTGTTACTGAAATTATTTTCATTCATAAATTTTATCAAGAAAAGACAAATTGAGATGATGTCAACATATCTTATCTACCTGAATACAAAACACAATCACCTGCAGAAGCAGAAGAGGACTCACAAAAAATTCAGACAGAGTATGCAAAGAATTAATTCTTGAGAAATCGTCTGTGATACTGAGAAATACAAGACCTTTAATTTATGCCTTGTACAGAAGTTATCCTTACCTTTTTTTAAGGTGTTGGTGATCTATGCGGTTAGCCTCATTGAGATCAATGAATTTGACTTTTTCATCTTTGTATGTCTTCAAGCTCTCTTCTAGGGCCAGTTTCAGCAATTCCTCTTCAGTTCTTCCAACACCACAAATAGTCAATGGCCGTGTTTGAACATTAGGAAACAGTTCTGAACCAGATTTCTGTTGCCAGCAGGTTATCCCAGGAGGTTGGTCAACTGTAAGTAAAATGCATTACCTACCAGAACACCAAAACAACTGTTTTTGAACCGAACACCTAATTTCAAACTAACAAACCTGAACTGTCCCTACTTTTATAACAGTTTGCATTTATCAGTGTTACAAGGCAAGTAACTTCTACCAAATCTTCTCATCTTTCAGACACAAAAATAGTCAAATTTCTTAATTCCCATCAAAAAAGAAGGTATGAATTATGAAATAAAATTGGTTAACAGACTACATTTGTGTTCCTGTATGCTGATTTAGATCTTCCTAATTAAATAGCAAGTCAACAGACAGGAAATGAACCAGAGATGTAAGAATATGAGGTGGACACATTGCCTCCAAGATGACCTGCTTTGTGTTAATGTGACAAAATCTAATTCATGTGAGAACAAGAAACAGCTTTGATCTTGGGACAGTGTTTGTAGCAATGCTCACCAGGTGTCTGCTGTCTGCATGCACTTCCAGATCTTTGATCGGACAGCACAGGTTTCTGCTGAGCGGCTGCTTCGAGAAGCGGTCTCTCCAGCTCCTTCAAGTTGATTACAATCTCAGTCTTCTTCTTGCGCTTCCCTTTGTTCTTACTCTGTTTTGTACCACTAAAATAATCATCAGTGTTTTGTTTCTTCAGTGGTAATGACTGTACCATGCTCATGTGTGCCATGTTGTTTCGTGCTGTGTATGAACTGAAACCAAACTTAACTCACATTTTCTACTCAGAATCATTCACAAACCTCACCCACTACCTCTAAATGCATGCTTCCACTTTTAAGTCAATTATATAAATGAAGACAAAAGAGGTCATTAATGATAAATTTTCTGAATGTATTTATTTTTAAGCCATTAACCTAAATACAATCTGAATAATCAAAAACATTACAACTGGAACCAAATTGAAAGGATCAAGGCCACATGAGATATAAGAACCATATAATAAATTCCAAGACTTTTTATTTTGTATAAATTAACCCTTCAATTTAAAATTTCTAGCACAAAAATCTATTAAAAAATTACCATTGTTATGAAGAAACCTTTAGAATAAATTCTGGAGTATCATATATAAATAAGCAATGTTGTTACATATCTGTGAAATGAAAATGTTGTCTTCAAACCAAAATGCATACAAATCATGATGCTCTCTTAATAAAGTACCTGCACAACTCATTGTGATCGTCCTGGTTTCGCAACCACTCCGTCTTACGCAGCATCTCTAGTGCATCTGCTTTATGATACAATTTATCAAGCACTTTCACTTCCTCCTCACTGCATTTTTCCTTCCTGAAATACATCACATTTATGTAAAGTAAAAGTAAAGTAAAGCTGTCCCGCTATACGCCATGTAGGCGCTTCAGAGGCGAGGAGGTATAGCTCCTACTCATTCTTGACATTGGTAACTAAATGGGGGTGAGTGGTCAGAATCACGCCCTGGCCACGCTAAAAAAATACAGAGGTTTTCTGCTCATTACAAAAATGTTTAGTTTGGAGAATTATAAATTTCTACTGGATATAAGTTAGATTAAAAATGTAAAAAAAGGAGTTTCCTGTAGTTTCACAGATAATATTTATGGATGGATTGACACACAAGACTAAATTTCTGCATTTTCACCTTTTGTGCAAGTCTTCCTTTGCTTTCTGCAGCATCTCTTCAACTCGCTTTTGATTCTCAGCTCTCAAAACTTGAGTTTCACTTTCCAGCTCCTTAGAATCTTCTTCTTCAAACTTCTGCTTCTGTGCTTGCAAGAAGGCTGTGAGACGACTGTCTTCTGGTTTCTCCTTGTGAGTGCGGACACATCCAATAACATGTAGTGAAGCATTATTGTCCTTTATGCTGACATCGTTGGATTCCCCACCATTGTTCTGCCTTGACACTCCAATTTTCTTACTCATCACTGCTGTCTAATCTATAAACAGGAAAAATTAATCAATATTTTAATTACAAATCTAGTCATAACTGTTTGCACCATTCCTTCAATTTTTCAAAAATCATCCTGAATTCAAAAGAATTTTTTTTAATCTTGAGGTTTTTATGGAGATGTTTAAGACCTATTTTTTATTACAATTTCAAAGACACTATACTGCAGTTCCCATTTCTAGAATGAAGTAACTATGATTACAATACTATGACAGTCTTCAATTTTGAAAGGTTAAACTGAAAGAAATGTGTTTGCATTATTATTGTATGGTTAGTATGGTATTTATATAAGACATATTCATAATGTACCAAAGGGATGTAGCAAAGAAGCTTGCCACAAGGCATTTTCATGCAGAAATTCAAAATATAATAACTGTGAAAGACGCGGGATTTTCATTACAACCTCCAAGGGAAGAACACAAATAAAGTTCAGTACACTGGAGACACAACAACAAAAGCTGAACCTAATCAGTAAGCTTGCCTTTCTGCAGATTAAATAAAACCACTGTTTTCATCAAACACACACTTCCATCCACGACAAATAGACGCTGTTAAAATAACCTCCTGGGTTCTTGTGCATTATCTCCCTGCCACTTAAAATAAATGTATTTTTTTCTATGATAATTGTGACATTGAGGTTTTTGTTATTTCATCACAAAAGTGGTGGTGTTGTGCGCCAATAAAAACATTATACTCTAAGATAGGTTAGTTTTAGTCACACTAGTTGAAGATAATATTTAACTAGCATAAAGATAATAGGATGTATTTAACTATAATCACCAAAGCTAGAGTAACTTAAAGTAGAATGTTCTTACTAATACACAACACCACTTAGCGCCAAACACGATCGCTTTCCAGCCCTACTTAGAAAACGTGTTTATTAAAAGCGCAGATACTTAAAGTCACAAATGTTTTTAACAATTACTTACTACATATACGAATACTTTTCGTCATTTAGAAACACATATACACATACGAAAAACCACAATTTGAAGAAATTTACTGTAATCCTTCAAATCAGAAATCAACCAATGTAACGTCGTAACAATTCCGGTTCCCCTCTTCAGAGATTATACCAACTACGGATTAATTAAAAGTAGACAGTTGGACTGTACAGCCATCTCTTAGTTAAGGACGCATAATATTGTGAACAACATCGGTAGATCAGCCAAAAATGCAGTAAGTTCTAATTCAAGCTTCACATCCACACACCACCCCAAAATAAATTTACCTCCTGCATTTAATCAGAGTAAAAGCAATATTAAGTAAAAAGGTTTAGTAATTGTCAACTTGCATTCAGGCTGGAGAAATTTAAATTAGAACCAAGTTTTATTCATTAATATATTATTACTCATAATTTATACTTACCACCAGAGTAGTACTTGATTCATATCTGTTTTTCTGTAAGTCAAATACATGTTCAGGGAAAATCATATCAAGGAAAAATAAGACAGGAATTTTGGATGTCCTGGCTTGTGGTATATTGGATATCAAACATCCATATAATTTCATTCATCACAATTTTACTACTGTCAAGCCTAAGGCATGTATAGTAAGATTTTCTCCTGCCATTATTGTCTTCATCTTCATTTCACAGATATAAGTGAAGACAATGACATGCACAATATTAATTTATTGGAGAGCATGTATACAAATACAGTACTGTAATATGAAACTCATCCTGAGTGAACATCAGATTCAAAATATCACACAAGTGTGCTGCTAGCAGATGTCAATATCGTCCAATACAGTTATGGGGCAATGCATATCTTGCCACTGCGCCTTTCCTGCCAAAAAATAAAATGTTATACATTATAGGCCTCTTCATGATTTTCTTTATTTTATATATTTATGGCATACTTTATGATGATATCATTAGCTCTGACTGTACAGTGATAACAAGTGAAAGTGTAATATCACAGCTCTCTCATACCATTATACAGAACTCACCTGTATCAGCAACTGGCTTATCTTGTTGCTGTACCAGGGGCATGTTGTGTAGTGGACAGGTTGCTGGACATGATGCAGCAGACTCATTTGTTTTCTGGTTACTGATCCTCCATTATAAGCAAACACATATGCTTTAATAATACATAAAGATTAGTTTATCGATGATTAATTCAAACATGTATCCTAAACTCTGGCTGGTAACCTCAAAGTGTTGAGACAGGAAACAGATGGTGACAGAGTGAGCTCCATGACTTTTTCATACCCAGTTATAGGAATGATAAAGATAAATAGTAAATATATGTTCTAAGGACATGCAAATTTGATGTCCATTTGCAGTCTTGATATTTGTTTATTTATTTATTCATTCATGCTACAATTATTTCTCTATGATTCATATAAAAGTGTAATATGTATAAAGTACAGTATTATTAATAATATATAAACATTACTGCATGCTGGACCAAATGTTTTTGCAGGTCTTTTTCTGCCCACACCTGATCTAACTTGACTTCAAGCAGGTGACAACAGTTGGAGAAAAAATATAATATATTAACAATAGCTAAAATTTATCAAGAGTTCTCTGCTGCTGAAAAAGAGCACTCACTTGAACAGCATCTGCAATTATGGCCAATGCTTGGGTTTATCAAGCGTCATGAAAACCTTTGCTATAAGTGGCTTCTGAATGAATTCCATTAACCTTCCAAATATAAGTCAGTCATAACATGATGTTTGAAATAATAAGTGCTTTATTGAAACCTCCACCAATCTATCAACTTAAGTTATCACAGTTTATTAATCAGATCTAACAAACACGGCATCAATGTAATTATAATTCCATTAGCAACTGCAGTATTTTTTAAAGCATGTGTTACTCACCGAGTACAAGAGCAGCAGCCATATGCAATGCAGGAAAGGAGAAATATGCATATTGAGAGAACAGCGATCAGACCAACAACACTGATTTTGATGAACATCTTGTGTTCAGAATGAGAATTCAGTTCTGTAGAGGCAAAAAGAACAGCTTTCTGCAGAATGAAACACTTATAGAACAACACAGAGAAGTACACTTCTGAAATGTATCACAAATCTGGTGTGTTACATATTATTACCAGGAAAAATGTAAGTACACATTATTTTAGTCCGTAATCACGAGTACCAAAAATCATTCATCAAAATTAAGTTATTCTTAGATCAAACACTTTTACATTTTTTTCTACTTTGTTCTTAAACTTATTGAGATAATCTTTAGTTTATCGTGTTGCCTAACACAACAACTATAAACAGTGTTACCAACCACTTACTTCTGGTAATAAATAAATTAATTACAAGGTTTCACATCCTTCAGGCATAAAAACACTTTCCTTTCCTTCTGCTATAGGTACAGAAGCAGGAAAGTGCTTTTCCACTGTAATTATGTTAAGGACTGGACCTTAAACACAGGCTACTGCTTGCCCACCCTTGTTTGATATTTAACACAGCCTTATACTCTTACTGATGATGTCTTGGTGATCATGAAAGGTCGCCAGCACTACAGAGGCATTTTCCGTTCGCACACATTGTTTCAGCTCTTCATACCAACTGTAGGACCTAAAAAAAGTTTAGTCTCACATCAGCACTGCCTAATATTTGTCAGACATGGTTTCATGGCATTCTGTTTGTCAAAGTGTGCCTGAATGTTGAACATTCCACATTTGTTCCATTTTAAATACTTGCTTTATAGCAATCAGTTCTGTTATTATTTATGTGGATCCAACTATCTTAGCAACATGTGTTACTAAACCAAACTATACCAGTTTCAATAATGTACCTGTTACAATAGCAATGACTCTCTGTCTCATTGGCTATGCACAACATGTGATGACCCACACATTCATCATCAGAGATACAAGACTCACCATAACTTCTCACTGAAACAGATAATACTCTGTTACAGCTTAGGATAATCAGACACTCTGTCATTAAAATTGCAGTCTAGACATCCCTGTAATTTTTCTTGGGACAACCAGTTAAACTTTGAAAAAATGTTAAACATTAGAACCATTACTTTAGCATGTTTCAAATACAACTGAAAACTCCTACATCTATTTCAGTAACATTAAATGTATCCACGTTATAAGGACTAAGAAATGACAAATCATAGTTTATCATTTCACATCAAACATTGTGGTTTCATATTTGGGAGGTCCCAAGTTCTAATCTCAGTCTGGGATTACAGAAAACACAATCAGGAATAAAACTACAAATTAGTGCTAACCAAGGAAAACTCATTAACTTAAAAACTCACCTTGCTCTGCTCCAGATGGCAGCAGAATCAATAGAGCCGCTGCACCAATGTACCAGACTCCAGTTATACACTGTGTCATTGCTAGTGAAAATCAAATTTACAGTGAATGCACTAATCTTGTCTGGAATAACACTGGTGGCTCTTTACAGTTAAACTGTCTGTACTTAGAAGTATACATTAATTTACTGTCATAAAACATCTGTTTGCACCATTGTGGGTTTCCAAACTCCAGTATGTGTCATGCGGTTTCTTGTGTCTTGATCTTGCACCAGTCCCAGAACCAAAGAGCTTTCTAACTAACCCACAGGAATGAGGAATAAAAATTAATGTGACAGATTAAAAACATTTCCACTTGAGTGTGTTCTATAAGATAAAAGAATATAAAGAAGTTGATTCAATACATTCAGCATCATTCAGACTGACAAAACATAAGATTTTAAAACTATAAGCTATATAAAATATTTCAGAAAATTTTTTCAGAATTGAATATGTCAATACTACTGCTGTGTTAGATAAACACTCTGATGTTTTTACTATGGTCTTCTGAATTCCACTGAACCAAACTGTTTATACTGATACATCACACTTCAACGTTTTTGTTTATTTGCTTCCATAAAACAGTTCACAGTCTAACACAAAAAGAATTCTCAGCCATTGTACATACCCACACTATGGGGGAGACCTTCCTTCACTGGAAAGTGGACATGAGGCAACTTAAATACAGACTTGACTCCTTTTCTACTACCAGTGCCAAAAGATTCAAAATAATCAGTTTATTCTGAACAAAGCTAATGGTTAGTGCTGTAAACAAAAGACTATAAATATAGCATATTTTCTTTGCTTCCACAGTGCCATTAGTAGGGAAATTGGATACCAGAAAGAAAATAAGTTATACCAGTGTTGATGTGTAATAAAATATGCTAGTTTTATGGCAGAAATAATTTATCATATATAAACTGATGTTTACATCACATGTTAGAGCATGTGTGGGCCCTCCCACCCTCCCCCCATGAATGGCTGATCCCACTTACTCACAGCTCAGCAATCTGCCAGCAACATCTGGCTTTGGTCCAAGAGACAAAACCAGATATGTCAAAGTCTCCAGGTCTGAATGGTGGAATTCACATCCATCTAATTTTCAGTAAATTGTCACTTCATTTTTCATATTAATATGCTGCAAAGTGCTAAAATATACACATCCCTTATCCACTTAACTAACAACATATAGCAGCGTCCTTTATAAGCTAACAGTCTCTCAGCTGGTCAAGAAATCCACTAACAGTCTCTCAGCTAGTCAAGAAATCCACCACCTTTTATCGAACCTGAAGATCACAATATTAGTCCTCCAAAATCAATTTCAGATACACATACAGATACAAAGCATTAAGAGCTTTTTAAAATAAATATATCAAGCTCTGATGGCAGTGGCACAGAACCCAAAACCAACTTTCCCACATCCCAACCCAAACACAACAGAAAATGATATGTAACACTGAAAAATGTAAGCTGGTTCACACTACTAAATGAATATTGCAATGAACTACGACAAGAACAAGCAATTCCACTGAGAAGTCACAAGCAATTTAACAGGGGTACATTATATTCCACACAAACTCTTAAACACACCTTCTAAAAATAACGTCTCAGAACCATGCTGTTACTGGCAAACCTCCAGCTTCATACGAATGGAGTATCCCCTTTATTAGCTTTGTAACAATACATGAACAATAAAAACACAATTACGGATCATGATTTCTTAGTCACTTAATGACACTTTCTCAACTGCACAGATTATATAGTGCCCGATGTTAGGATCAAAGTGAATGACAAATTGGAAAAGAATTAGTCATTGCCTGTTTGAAGATGCTAACCAAGAAAGAACTCGGAGAAGCTACAGAAAACCTTCACAAATAATCACAGCACCACAGAATATTTGGATGTGGAATCTCAGATCTGGGTAGTGTCTATGGATCATGTAAAATGCAGAGGTACAACAAATGACAACTTACATCAAGTTACAGGGAGAGCAAATGAATTAAAAATAAAGAAAACTACAAATTTATGTAAATCCCATTTTACATATATTTTGAATATGACAGTTTGCAGGATTTTACATTGTATGTATGATCCTTATACACTGACATTTCTAATCATTTGTCCTCTTCTTCAGACAGATGATAAATGCCTACATATTGTTCCACAAGCTGTTACACCGTATTTTCTCCTCAAGGACACTTGCAACTGATTTTTATAAAATGCACTGTCTTTCAATACTTTACTTCTAAATTACTACTTAATATAAATTTACATAGCAGTACTAAACTTTTTTTAAAAAAATCTTCCATCTGTTACAAGCAGATAGAACAAGTTCCTAGTTCCATATGTGAAACAAGTAACACAAATGCAACAGCAGGACCACAATATTTCATAGTTACGCTTGTTAACATCAGTATGTATAACTTTTTTCAATACTCTCTAAATTTCTCTAAGAGATAGATTTCAGCTATTTTGTTTCTACTGTAAGAAAGAATTCATGAATATCTAATCTGTGACTGATATTATCTTTGAATTGTTACATTTCCTATGCAGTTAGAATAAAAGAAATAAACAGTTAGAATCTTACAAAAGAGTCTAACAAAGTTCCATAAAAAGCTCAATGATGTAATCATTACAGTATAAAAATATATCACATATAACAGTAACAAAAATATATATTTAGAAAATATTAATAACAATTTCTCAGACTTGGTATGCAACAAGACACATGGAACAGTAGTTACGATAACCAATACTCTACCACTACAGAACTTATCTGACAGGGGGTCTGCTCAGGGCACGTCATGCAGACCACACACTCTGTTTGCTGGAACAGCTCTGTCTGCAACAGGCAACAAAACACACACACACACAGTTAATATTATAATAAGAAGGATATTATAAGAGCAATGCATTCTTCCAAGTTAATATCAATTACAAGAAACAGAAGGGGCATGTGGTTGGAAATAACTGTTAATGACCAGTAATGAAGTAATTTCATGGAACTGAGTCCTCCTCCAGAAGCTAAAAGCAGCTATAAGTAGTCAAGAAATTCTATGCCTTTTATGGAACCTGATGGCCCAGTGGCTCCCATACTGAGTCAAATGAATCCAGTCCACAACCTACCGTTTGCCAAACAAGACCTAACTTGTATGATCTGAAGCTTTCACAGCGACTAAGTATAATGAATTATTCTTGGGCTACCAGCCGTGTCAGGTGGTTGAATGGTGAAAACACCAATGTTTCAAGAACCATCTCCATCCCCATCCTCAGGGTATTTCAGTACGAGGACAAAGACCGTTCTCAATCCGTTTGTGTTTTCTCCATTCAACCACCTGGCACAGCTGGTACTCTGAGAAGAATTCATGAAGACCTAACTTTATACTAAGTACTTCTTATACATCGGTCAAACGCATGATTCCATTATTTCAGTCACATAAATATTTTAAATTAAAACAAACTACACATTTCTGCCACAACAGCAGGTGTATAATGATAGTACTTTCAGAATCAATGGTTTTATGCATTCTTGCCAACTAACAGAAACAGAGAAAGAAATTCTCTTCATTATTAAGGACACCTGTACTTTCTTTAGAAGCTGACAGCTGGGTATAAATAGTCTTCTTTCTACTCCAGAAACAATAATGTTACAGTTTTCAAGGTTAAATTCAAATACTAAAATTATTCAAAAACTTGCACATATCAAACAGGATTCTGAGCTTGCCTGTTGCTTGTTTGGTTATTTTATGATGCTGTGCCAACTACTAAGATTATGTTCCATTGAAATTAAAATGGCAGCAAGACCCTTGAATGAAGAATATGTAGGGATGAGGACAAGAGCAGTCATGACTTATTTTAAGTTACTTTCCTAGCATCTTCCTGGAAGAGCTAATGAAGTCATTTAGAATCTCAGCCAGTGTAATCACTCTACAACTAAGATTCAAACCAGGCACCTCCCAAATGATAATCAGATATATTACTTTTGTTCCAACCAGTTAGGTTTGAATTTCAATCAGAGAAACACATTTTACTAAAAAGTGCTGCTCCTAATGCAAACAACACGATAAACATAAATTCTCTTCATTTCTACATAAAAATATACTACAAGCAATAATTTCAGTGCTTCAAACTTACCAATCATTTTTGGATGAGGTAGGTTAAGATTCTCCATTATTTTGATAAATTCATCCAGTGGCTTGGTGAGCCGCGGATTGTAATGCTTCTCTTCGCCAACTGTTGTACTCGTCTGACCTGTAACAATCATGGCTGTCAAACATAATTTCACATCCACATTTATAAAAATTCAGGAACAATAAAATTCACCTATTGTATGAAAAAAATCCTACCTTAATGCATAACAAATTTCTGATAGTGATATATTTATCTCATTGGTTAGCAAGTTCTTTAATAACATTATAAACACTGCATAGCTCATTCACCTTCAAATGAGTTGAAGGGATGTGAAGAGGAAACACAATTTCTTTTTATGGTATCGTCACAGTATTAACCTGGAGGTCAAGGGAAAGCCACTAAATTCCTCAGCCATGACAGCCAGGCTGCAGTGGGATTCAAAAGTCATATGTGTTGGTCATCTGCTACACTGCTAGATAAATTACATTTCTATCCTGTGCCACTTGAATCCAATTTACACTTTCACACTATTTATCTCAGATAAATTTTTCTATTATCTTTCCATCTGCACACAGGGAGACACACAAAATAATACATACTTTACAAATTTGTAGTTTTCTTAACTTCACCAATAAATATTTCTTGCTCTGAGATAAGAGGTTCAGACGACCCACATAAAGTGGAAATATAAGATGAAAAGAGGAAAGAGATTCAGAACAAAGACCTTGTTATGAGTTCTGTGAATTAAAATAAACGAACAGGAAAATTTAATTACTTCACATTATTGCAGACGACTGCAAAACTATTAAAGAATTGACGCTAGAAGTTTTATAGGTGAATGTGATCAGAAGGGCGGTAGTTACTTTCATTTCACACTGCATCTGAAGTTTTAGAGGTACAGCTCACATTTATTTTTAAGTTCTCAATGTTTTGATCACATATGTGGGTGTTTATTGGCACAGGATCAGAATCTCTATTAAACACATTCAGTCTCTGTAAACAATACAGATGATTGCATCACTCAGCTTTCACCAGAGAAAAAGTGACTTAACGTAGAATATCATTTATAATCACACAAACACCAATCACCATCTCCACAAGCCATGCAGCCAAAGTGGTCATACACAAATATTCTGCCTCTTTATAGAAATACAAGAGAGCGAAAGGATGTTCCTGTAACTTGAAGATAAGAGTGATAAAGTACACACAACTCTTCTAGACCTAAATACAAGAGCAACAAGAGAAATACATATTGTGCAGATCTCAGATAAGCTGAAATCTGAAGAGGAGATAATTACACTATGGTATATTTCATGTCCGAAACACTGCCTCAGAGGGAATGACAAAAAATGAAAGAGATCAAACACTGTATCTTCTGATTAAAGGACAAACTTTGAGGAATCTTCCTATATTCAGATTATTTAATCAGCTCAGTTTCACAAAAAATGTTATGCCAGATGTCATGGTCAAGTGGATATCATTCTTGCTTCATATTCAATAGGTTCCAGGTTCAAATCCCAGCTCAGAGACCAGCTACCCTGAATGAGGTTTTCTGTGGTCTTCCTCAGTTCATCCTAGCAAATGACAGGATAATAACTTAAATTAAGCTTTGACTCCCTCCTTCATATAACTTTTCCAATTATTATTCACTAATAATCCGTTATTTAACATTTTTGTCTGAGTTATTGGCAGCATCATAAATAAGCCACACACACAAAAAACAGCTTTCAACTTGAATTTGTATAACACAATAATTAAAGATCCAGTAATAATTGCAACCCATGTCTAACGAAAACATCAAACAAGAATTGAATCAACACCAATTATTTAAGTAAACTTAAATGTTAAACATATTGCATCATATCCTACTTAACCACTATCACAAAGGCTGACGTATAGGCAGAAATAGTAACTAACTCAACACAGAAGCATGATGCAATAAAGCAAACATTACTACTTCCAAAAGAAACATAGGTGTTGGAACTCATCGCAAACATTACTACTTCCAAAAGAAACATTGGTGTTGGAACTTACCACAATTTGACAATGTTATAATAAGTTTAGTTTGTTAAATGATTGTTTCTTAGTTAATATATAATGCTGTATCAAACATAAAACATAAAAATTATTTAATAATGAATGGTACCTAACAAAACAGTAGTCATGCTTGTTATTCAGGAGGTACCAAGTTAAAATTTCAACCCACTGACCCATTTTAATGAAGGGTTTCAGATTTTCGTCAGTTCTCCAAACAAGTTATTAGATAATAACTTAAAATAAGCCATGAATGCAAATTTAGAAAAGCATTATTAATAAGTGATAAATAAATCAATCAATCATAGAAATATGTCTTCGGATATTAGGAAATATTTTGGGAATGTTGAAGCACACGTTGTACTGATGCTCGTAATGTGGTGACCCCAAAAATCAGGGGACCCTGGGCAGCTGCACACACCTGCTCCACCCTCATCTAATCACACCAACTCCCCTCTCCCTTGTTCTAGTCTCTACACCCCATGCATACTGACATACTATGCTCATCTAATCACACCAACTCCCCTCTCTCTTGTTCTAGTCTGTACACCCCATGCATACTGACATGCTCTACCCTGTCTTACCTACTGAATATCATGAAATAATAAGCAATCCAGCTTTGTGAAACGGAGCTTCTGGGTCCAAAACTCAGCTCTAGACGACCTACCATAACAGAAGTTCTTTTGCAGTTCTTTGAGGCAAATTTTGAAGTATGTGGTAATGGGTTATTTTAAGAAGAATACGTTGAAGCAGCACATGGCTACTTCAATCTGCATTTCTTCTAATTCATCACTTGCAGTCAGTGTACCATTTGATGCTATAAAACATATGCAGCTGAAAAGAGTCTCAAAATCACAAAACAATAAAGAATCAATCATATCTCAACTATTTCATGAACAGCAAACATCACTGTGTTATTCCTCATCATGGTAACATGACGTTAACATGAAAGAGAGAGACAATTTACCTTTGTAGTCATGTGCCGGGTAAAGCTTAAAAGTATCTGGAAGTGTAAAAATCTGGTTATGGACAGAGTTGTAGAGGGTTTTAGGATTTCCTTCCTGGAAGTCAGTGCGACCACAACCTCTGATGAGCAGCGCATCACCAGTGAAGGCTATGCCTTGCTCGTAACTCACGAATGTCACACAACCTGTGAACAACAGATGTTATCAGTATTATGAGTATAAGATTACATGGTGACTGAGAATTATGAACTCAGATCCCAGAGAACAAAAAAAAAGTCCAACTAAGGACTTTTATATAGCTTTCTTGGATTAATATAAGTTTCGTTGTAGTACGATTGACACAGTGAAATGATTATGTTTTCAGGGTGCATTTGTGCAATTCAATATAACAATTCAGGAAAAAGAAGAGTGAAATCACTAAATATTAGAACAAAAATAAGAGCAAACAAATTAACAAACAAATTAGCAAAAGTTTTGTAACTGATGGTGTTTTAGTACTGTACTTTTACAAATATGCAAATTAAATGTAGTAATGGAATCTGAAGTAAATTAATGATACAAGAATATTACCTTGAGGTAGATCAGAAAGTATATTATGCTGTGACTCTGTCTGAATATCACAAGTTTTGCTCTGCGACTTTCTTGTTTGCATTCTATTAACAAATGATTTCGAACATGCTAATTTGTTCACAAACACACACCTAAAAAGGGTGGATAAGACTCTAAAAAGAAATCATAATTGATATATGGAGACAAATATGAAGTAGGTAATATCCACTTTAAGTTGTTACTCATCTGTCTCATGCATGTTACTTATCTTGCCCAGCTCACCCTCCTTGATTGAAGCATCCATTAGTAACAGCAACAGAATTAAATATCACTGTATGAGGTTCGGGGGTTCAAACTTGGCCGAGATCGATAGATTTTTAAGGGTGATAAAAATCCGTACCACAACTTCCTTCGGAGGGCAAGTAAAGCTGCCGGCCCCATGTCGTGGATTTACGGCATGTAAAAGAACCTTACGAGCATGAACGAGATGTTTCATAAACAAAACTCAGTGGCTATTTCTCACCCAAGTCTCTCCTTATTCACTACTAGATGGTTCTAGTAGTAAAATCAGGATTGAGTAGAAATTGTGCAGAGGCAGTGGGCTTGTCACTCACTACTCACAAATACACACTTCAAAGACATAGAAACCTCCCAGGTGGGAGGAGGCCAAGGCTCAACTTCAGGCTGTTGCGCCATAGAAGAAGAAGTATGAGCATTGTATTATTCACGACCTCTGGTACAATGAAAAAGGTTTGTTGTATGTGTATTCAATGCAAAGAAAATATACCCACATTTGCAGTATCCCTGGAGAAATTAATGTGATTTAAAGTAAATAGAAATGACTACAAAAACTGATAATTGCATTAGATGTATATACGACACTATCTAATTTTGATATACAATTTCCCTTCCAAATATTTTCCATTTGAATAAACATCTAACAAGACATGCAAAATGTTTAAGAATTAAGATAGTCTGTATACCATTGGTGTGCCCTGGGGTGGATCTCACTGTAAGTTTATGACGCCCAAACTGAACATCAAAGTCAGCTTGAACATAGATGTCAGCCACCGCTCCACTGGATTTAGAGATCAAGCTCTTTGTTCCTGGCAGCAGCTTCTTGAGCAGCCCAGTGCCAGTCACATGATCAGCGTGCATGTGGGTGTTCACTAGACATCAGAAAGAAAACAATATAAACATTTAAAAATAGCTCACTCTTATCTCCACACAAAATGGTTACCTATCCTGATCATTTGTCCAAAAGACACATGGAATAGGGATTGAGGAAGAGGAGTGTTAGTGACGTACCATGTCTAAAACTGTTTTCAAAATCTATTTTACTTTCACTGGTATAACTATTGTCATTTGTCAAAGAACAGTTCAAATAATTAAAAAATCATGAAAGTGAAGAGACAGATGTAAAATTATTTTAACTAACATAAGAGAAGGATGTACAAAATACATAATAAATATGCACATCTTTGCAATACAGACACAGGGACTATAAATTAAGGCCTCTCATTGTGTATAACTCAGAAAATCCACGAGCATGTTAAACATTTCCTGCTTTTCAAGTTTTCAATATCTTTGGCAATTTACAGAAATGAAACTCCCCACATATAATGAGAGTCGCCTGTAACAGGAAGCCAGAGAAAACAACATACTGTGAAGCATTATAAATTGTGCTCTTCACCAAATACTATTATGGTGACTAAAGTGAGAATAAAATGCATGGGATATGTGTGTGAAGTCCTGAAAGAAACTTCAGCCATACTGCTATAGACAGGTCCAAAATCTGTAAGATTTTTACTTACTAGCATATTTTAAATTTAATCCCAAATCCTTGATGAGCTGTGTATCCCTTTCAGCATGTTCAAGAACAGGATCAATTATGACGGCTTCCTTGGTAGTGGTGTCCGCCAAAAGGTATGTGTATGTGCTGCTTTCATAATCCAAGAGCTGAAAGAAGTGTTGGATTAAATTAAATACAAACATAAAAACTCCCTGTTATTTAAAATACAAAATGAAAAGGTTTAAAGCATTAAAATCAGCTCACAATTACTGCAGTTATGCCACATTTTTAAAAACTCTTTCAGATCCTCTGTTAGACTTAGCCTGACACTCACTAAAATGACATTCTGAACTTATGCTGGACTCAATTCTAGAGGACTACAAATATAATGTCTAAGAAGAAATTTAAATAAATTAAAGTTGCGACATTAGTTTGTAGATCCCACACATTCCAAAATTTCGGGCTCACTACGAGAGTTTTAAAATTCAAACAAAATAAGTACATTTGTTGTATTCCATATTTAAAAATGTACGGATTTCAGAAGATTAATGAGATGTCCTACCTGACGGAAAAAGAAATCGGGAGACTGTGAAACACTTTCTGGTAACATCATGCAATGATGATATCGAAAAATATTTGGCATGTTGTTCACATGGCACTTCAACACCTCTTTTATAAGGTAGGAATTCACTCCCCTCAGGGCACTGCACAAGGACTTCGAAAACATAGGGTTATAATACAATTGCACCTGTCAAATTCTGTTTCGTAACACGCCACTTTAGACTCGCGATATCAGTATGACGACGTCTACTACTTGCCACGAATCAGAAGTACAAACTGATTTTCACACCTATTTCGTAATATGTTTACATACGGAACACTCTGTCACGCTTCTATTTATCTCAAATCGCCAGCTATTGACGTGAAGAGCCATGCTATAAGATTTAGAACTGCAAATCACCATGATTCGGCTTTGCAAATAATATTGGCACCAATGTGACAGCAACAATACAACCACTATTATAAATTTAAAACAATGTGGCGCAGCGCGGATAAGATTTATTTCAATGGACAAACAAGGACAACAAGAAATGTGTTGTATTGAAGATGTAAGATCCTATGGAACTTTCGTAGATTGCAATGAGTTAACTGATACTCTAGGATTTGGGGTTTTATTCTTGCCAGGAAAGATTGGGCTGCGAAAATAATATTGGTATCTCTGCGACAATATCAGTGCCACCACCATCACCAGAAATTGAAAACACCGCGGTGCAGCGCGCTTTTTAAATCTGCTTGTGTATGGGGACAACATTTTTCAGCAGACAAGCAATACGCATTCAAAACAATAACTAGAAATGTATATATCCACACTATTACAAGTGACCTGATGACGTTATAACGTGCTATGGATCATACGCAGATTACAAATTAAGTAACAGTTACTCTGTCGTTAAACCGTATGTTACTTGCACTCATTTGACAAATTCAGTCTTATTATCTGACTTGTTCACTCCACAATGCTAAGTCCTTCTTGAGAAACTTATAGCCACTCAATATAGTCATTTGAACCCAGTCCACAACGTCACACTCTGTTTGTAAAAAAACATTTTAATATTATATTTGCGTCTATACCTAGACCATTAAAGTTGTCTCCTGTCTATTAGTTTTCAGATGAAACTCATAGATATTTAAATTGGAACATATTTCAAATTCCATGCACTATTTAAAAGTAGTAAATTTTTTATTTCACTGCAGGGTTTAAATAGTATTTGATACTTCGCAAGTAACATAGTAGTTTTTCAGAAATTTACGAGTGTTGTTCGACCTTGAGTTAAATGTTTAGAGCTCGTTTATTTCTGTTGTTGTCCAAATCTGCTCTTTGAACACATAAACAGCAGTAAACTTAACACATTGGTATACCTGTAAAAATAAGATGAATGTTGTTAGGATACATTAGCATTTATTGTATAAGTTACATGATCCGATCTGTCAAGTATATGACGCTCACTTATACATATGGGCCTGATGGTTTTATTTTAATTATGCACTTATGCTCCATGGATGATGTTTACAGACCATGGCTTACGAAAGCGTGGATAATCCGAAATTACTGATGTAGAAAGTGATTATTTAGTTGCCTGTCAATGACTGAACATTATTTTGATATCATGTTGGACAGAATTAAGTGTTCGGTGTATTTTTAAGTACATGATATTACAGGAATCCACTAGTTAACGTACTAGTCTAGTGTTAAAAAAGATCTGGGTTCTATCCAAACCTTCGCTACTAACAGGGTAAGAAAAAGTGTATTAACAATTTGAGTGTAATGACAACCAAGACGGGAGTAGGGGCAACTCCCAAAGCGTCATGAAACATTATCAAATATACTTCAAACAATGAAGGATGTAGTATATAATACTGATATAATTGCATGAAAACAGTATGGACTCGAGATTTTATAAATTAAGTACTGGTTAAAATATTTCTGTAGCAGTTATGAAGGAATGTGTTCGTGGGTAAGTGTGCCCAGGCAGTATATTCATCTTCGAAAAATGGGGGAGGAGCCTTGTATAAAGCAAAGAAAATGATCTGACGTAATTCTGCCAGAATATATAATGTGAACTTCAGTTTATGCGTTTAGAACCGTGTTCGTCGATTCTGTTCAGTTTTTTCATGTCAATTTCTGACAAAAAAAATTATATAATTTAGAATCTCTCTGCAATGTAACAAAACAGACAGCTGCAGCTTCGGCTGATACTTGGCATTTCAAACGCCTGAGTGCGCCCCTGCAGATATTCTTTCGGTCAACACGCTTAACACACGTGCCGGAGAAGTTGCCGATCTTACGGTAAATGAGAATTACAACGTATACAGGTTTCGCAAACAAGTTTGAAAGAGATGAATGTTATATTCAACAGACAGACACGAACCAATCGTGGTTCAGAGAAGTGTAGAGATGTCCACGGATTGATAAATTGAGTCTTGCATTATTCTATAAAGCTATTTCAACTGCAGACATATTAAAAGCGCTTAATTGAGTATGAAGGTAAACTTATATGGTGAAAGAGACATTTTTATTGATCAGCTCCAAAATTATTATACACGATTATATGCATGCAAAAAATTCATTCTTAAAGTATATATGTGAGAGAATATTTTTAGCGAGCTTAATGTATGCGATGGGGTATTTGTAAATGTTTCAATATCAATGTTCGATAACAGATTACACAAGTGCCGTATTTCATTCTTGTTGAGTAGTCCGGTTGGGCAAGAATCCTCATGCAAATTTGAAGGGTCAATACACATCCTAATTTTAAATCAGCTTATTCTATTATATTTTGTTACAATTTGCTGAAGAAGAAATTTGTAAATATGGCGAATATGTCTTCGACGATTTTGCGAATTATGCTTTATCAAGCCATGGGTTTACCAGGGGCCCCAGTACGACATCGGTCACTCACCCTAGCATCCAGCATCTGTAAATTTACTCCTGCGCTATCCTTGCCTATATAATTACTAAAAAAACGTGACCACGCCTATCAGCATGCTATAGTCGCCTGCGCATTTGTTGCAAATGTAATGATTGCAGGTTCAAGGATTAGATGGTGGGGAACAAACAAATTACTACGCGCCAAAATGTGTACCGTTCTTTGTTTCTCCCACCTCTCTGCTTTTGAACGTCATTCAGATATAGTTTGGCGGGAATTAAGTTGTCCCTACGCATTCAAGTGTGAAAGACATTCAGTTTTGCCCTAAGATGCATAAACCCAATATATACCCTTCAACCCAACTTCCCTAAGGAACGCCGAAAGTGGAAACTTTTGTGGCCAAATTTCTCATAAAAATTAAGATAATTAGAGTTTTAAATATTTCAAATAACTGTATCGGTTGATGACAACGAAAACTATTCAAAATGGGATTTGAGGTTCTGTCGGCGATAAGGATGTCGATGTTGGACTTTAGGGCTAAAGATGGAGGCAGTATGTCCCTCCAAAACATTGGTATCTACCTACAAGTTCTAAGATCAATCCTCCCCAGTGGTAACTATATTTACCGCTTGAAGTAACACTCATTTACTCTGTATTTTCTCCTCAGAGTGTTTTGTGGGTTTCGTATAATTTTCGCCATAAACAGCGATCATTTTGTTAAACAGCATTAACGAACTGATCGTTGTCATGGAGACGCGTAGTGTTTCTTTCGAGACACGGACTAAATATTTACATTTTATTTAGATTCGCATCGGTTGCGAAAGGTTAAATAAGAGCTAAGACAAGTTGGATGCTGTTTCTGAAATAAAATCTGTAATATGTTGTGTTTCAGACATGGAATACCTGTTTCAAGGTTCTTTGCAAGGTTTGAGAAAAGAGTGTCTCGTTGACCGAGATGCCTTCTGGTGAGTCACGAGTGTAATGCCCTGTACACCCCCGCTTCTTCAGGGTATACTTCAGTTGTCTCTCTTCAAATTATCATCTCTCGGTCCCTTCAATGTTAAATTGCTAGTCAGCTAGGAAAACGCGCTAAACAGTTTTACCGTCACATACAACAAAGCCCTTTTGTTATATATATATATTTATAACAATAAATGAAGGGGCACGTTTCGGTCTATTGTAACATCACCTTCTGGTTTATCTCGAATATAATTGTACTTCTTTTATAACATCGGGAAAAAAAATTCCACAATTTTTAAATTCTTGATTAACCAGGACAGCTCAGTCAGTACAGTGGCCATCTTAGGGTTGGACGACTATGGTTTTGATTCCCAACAGTAGGGACTTATTTCTTGGCTACTAGACTCAACCAGTCTCCTACCCAGTGACTTTCGGACGATCCATCGCTGGAGATAAAGCTGAACACCTCCTCCAGTGTAAGAATAAGTGGAGCTGTGCCTTCACTCCTAGCTTTAAATTAAATGGATTACATTTTTGCATCCGTCTTTGGGTCCTTGAAAACTGCGCCCATGTCTTGCGTTGAAAATAGTTTATCCGCATGCAAGAAATAATTACTTTCTCCTGTTGAACAAAGGTCCTTAGCCTTCGTTTCCCGGCGTACAAATAAATCAGCAGCCCGCACTTCTGACTCAATCTCTCAGAGATATCCTGAGAGTCCTGACAAGGACACGCAGGATCACTCGAAATTTCGACAGTTATTATTACACTTACAGGACCCGTATACAACCAAAATATCTTCCCGATTTTTCTGGAAATATCGCTCCTGAGGAACACACGTATGTCGAGTGGCGAGAAGATAATGACATTTTCATTTAAAACAGTGGTAAACGTAAAAGATCAAATGGATTTGAACACAACTCATTCTAATCGGGTTCGTTGTCTATTAGATTCACGTGAAGAGCAGATCGGATGTAGTTTCACAGAATTTTCTCTTTACATTTGTACCACCGTCCTCCACCGCTGTATAACCAGCAGTAACAAGATAAGTTTTGAGAAAAAAAACTTCAATCACTGATGTGACGTTGACAGATGATTAATCTACCAATTACTCATCACCGCCAACCAATGGCCATTAGCTGATGAAACCATTCATCGTCAATCCACCTAAAAATGGAATATCAGGCGATGATGTGGCCATGAAATTTCAGCTGACTATAATTACTAGCTACATGTAATGACAGACCAATGACGAAAGCTACACGACCGAGTTTAGCTTCTTCCTAGCTGTGTTCATTTCTACCCAGAGGTCAGACTGGATGAGACCGGTTTAAGGCTAGTTTTTCCAAACGAGCGTTCTTAATGACGTGTCCGGACAACAAAATACTTCCGCCAGAAGTAGTATGCACTGGTTGGCCTTGTCCATTGTCTCTGAATTTCTACGTCTTTAAGATCATGGTCTTATCGAGGCGGGTCACAGCTTTTGTTTGGCACATGGAAATCCTGTCATTTCCATTCCCTTATCACTGATTCAGTGTCTGTAAATAATAATAGAAGACGCTTTATAATGTACTTAAGTTGAGTACTAATACGTATATAAAATACATTGAATGTCAATGAACAGACAGATTGAAGTGTATTAAAACTAAAGTAAACGAAAAATCAGTAGCTTCATATTTCAGAGAAAACTCAATAAATCTTGATGCACTAATGTGCTAGACTGCGTAGCAATGAATATATTCTCTGTTCTAGCAAGCAGTGGCCTTGTGTTGGTGGGGTGGATGATGGTTGCTGCATTCTTGGCATCCCACGTTCGTTTCCCAACAACCGGCTCTCAGGTTGTGCGTAGAATAATTTGATATTCATCTTTCTGCGTTCTGAAACATAAGTCTTCAGACAAGAACTCGGCTTACTTCAGAAGTAAGAACAAGATGGCGGGGAAACGTGTCCATTTACATCGATTTCAGGTATAACGAAAATACTTCTTCAGTTACTTTTAAATGTAGACGAGAAACAAGATGGCGACCTTCAGCTTAACGGCCCATATGGTCTTATAACAAATCGTACGAAATTGAACAATAATGACATTACTATTATTAAATATATTTCCCTAATGTTTATGCACAACGCTATGAAGAGGTATGGAGGAGTTGAGGTAAAGCTCTATGGATTCTTAACTTTGGTTCTAGATTGAAGAGGTGGTCAGCTACTCCCTCCGTCCACTTTGCTCCGTAACCAGGAGATAGGAGACTGAGTGGGTCCATTGGCGGGCTCTTGTTTATACGATAGTGAAGCTTCGGGTTCCAAGTATAACTTTGGTTCTAGATTGAAGAGGTGGGGTCAGCTACTCCCTCCATCCACTTTGCTCCTTAACCAGGAGATAGGAGACTGGGTGGGTCCATTGGCGGGCTCTTGTTTGTACTGTAGTGAAGCTTCGGGTTCCAAGTCGAGACATTTCTTGATTAGCCATGCGACTATCAGCTTCAGAAATTTAGCGTAAAGTACAACTAACATGACTCTTTCGTGTCAACTGTACTTAAAATTAAAGGCATGCCATTAGTACGGTCAAAGATAATTGGCTTAGTAATTATTAACAATAACTGGTTGTCATAACGACTGGTATGATAATAACCTCTGTGCGGGTTATTCCCTTCGTGAATCAAGTTGCGTGTGGATGTGTGTCTAAGAATCTTAGGAGGATAACCGAGTAAATGTTTAATTTTTCTAAAATTATTTGTTGCGTTTACAATCTAATAGCGTAATTTAAGACCGGCAAGAGTGCAAAATCACATTTGGAAACACTGGCGTTTTAAAATGGAGAACAATTTTCCACACTTATTTTAAGAAACCTTCTGTAGAAGTACTTTGGAAATACCTGGCATTAACGAAATAATGCTACTAATAATTATTGAAAAATAATGCCATAAATAAATTGTTTATTGATATAGAAATTTGGATGTGCAAGTTCAGGTCTTGCGTCTTGTTATGTTAACACGTGATCGACACAACCATATAAATATAAACCAGCGGTTTTATGAAGATGTTTTCGTTCTGTGTCTCTGGGTTGACCCGAATCCAGAATTAGCTAGGAATGTGCGGGGTGACCCATTTGGCGGGAGCGATCTGCACGAACTGACACCAGTCACAAAGAAAAAGTGGATAGCCGAAGCTTGGTAACGGTTCTAACAATTACTAATAATACAAATGCGGCAAGAATGGTATACCAACATAACAATGCCGAGTAAAAAAATGACGTAACATTGTTTGATGAAGTCATTGTTTAGCGACGACGACAAATCACGAATTGTTATAGTAGATAAGAACATAGATATATTGAAGGAGGTGATTATGTTATGTACCTTCACTCTGAGTTAAAGCAAGTAAGTAATTTGGAATCTGAGTACAAAAGTGATAATATCAAGGGTAATCAGTATTTGGTACATTTGGCAAGTATAACATAAAAATTCTGCTAGGAGATTTCAATGCAAAAATTGGGAGAGAAAAAATATGTGGCGCGCATGGATGAGGCAAAAGATGTGAAACGGGTATTGGTTGGGAAGCCTGAAGGGAAGAGACCTAGACGTAGATGGGAGGATAATATCTATCGAGATGTATAGGAGATAGGAGTTGAAGACGATTGTATTTTGCTGGCCCAGGATAGGGACCTGTGGAAGGCTTTGGTTAATTCGGTGATGAACCTTCGGGTTCCCTAAGCCATCTAATTAGTTAAGTAATTTGGAATATTTTTTGAAACGTAATGCTGCTAAACTGAAATTTGCCTGAGAGCGTGGCAACACAACCAACACAACTGTGGTATGGGTTGCAGTATTAACAACAGTGAGTGTACAGGTCTTTATAACACAAATAACAACAATAATTCAATACCTTATGCCACAAAAATTAAGGACAGAATGAAGTAGTTACGTAACATTTATTTTTAATTATTTAGTTATATTTGTAATGTCTGAGCATTTCGATTATCAGTTTCGACTAATGGCAATCGGTAAATGACCTTGTACACATTAGTGGCCTCTATACAAGCGGCAGAGAACTACGCCAGTCACAGCTGAGCTTTGTAAATATAAACACATAAGTCTGCAGCTGGAAGAAGACCTCGACGGTCTGCTACCGTCGAAATATCGCAGAACAGTAAGTTATCTTTCATAAAAAAATAGCAGAAATTACTCATTTACTGCATTTCAATAATCCGATGTGGTACTTCTGCAAATCGAATGAGAAAATAACACTTACTCGAGCATTTACTGAGTGTAAAGTAGTATGAATTTACGTCTGCTTTGTTCACTGTCCATGTTCAGTATTGTGAGTGAAAGTTTTACGTAACAAGTAATTGCTTTCGCAATTGTTACGTAAATTTCGTTCCCCAAAAATAGATTCATGACCCAAAATATTATGGTGCTGAAATTATATGCCTAGATATAAGGTCGTACGCCGTTTCTATGTGTTATGTTTTTGCGTTTCAATTGAAGATTTGGAAGTTTGCCAATGAGATAACCAAGCTAAAATCAGCTGTTTGGTGAAAGTGCGTCAAACAAAGCAGTACGTAACAGTGTATGTGGTGTTCGCGAAGCAGCGTGATATGCACAGGTGAAATGTGATTTTATTCATTACTGTTTCAGATTTTATGAAATGTCATCACTTTTAGAAGCGATAGATACAAAATATGGCAAAGAAGAGGCAGATAATTATGACCCTGATTTGCCTGTTGCAATTTACGTGCCGAAGAAGAGCCCAAGGAACTCAATCCCGTCACTGTTGGTGCTAAATGATTGTGATATTGAAAGTGCAGGGGATGAACAGGAATTGGAAGAGAAATGTCAAGAGGTTGAGGAGCTGGACCTAGCTCAGAACAAGCTGAAAAGATGGACTGAGGTACGTGAAAAGTGAAGGGAAATTACAGGAAGTGATAGCTTTGTGTGGACCCATAGGAAAAAATAATATCAAGGGTAATCAGTATTTGGTACATTTGGCAAGTATAACATAAAAATTCTGCTAGGAGATTTCAATGCAAAAATTGGGAGAGAAAAAATATGTGGCGCGCATGGATGAGGCAAAAGATGTGAAACGGGTATTGGTTGGGAAGCCTGAAGGGAAGAGACCTAGACGTAGATGGGAGGATAATATCTATCGAGATGTATAGGAGATAGGAGTTGAAGACGATTGTATTTTGCTGGCCCAGGATAGGGACCTGTGGAAGGCTTTGGTTAATTCGGTGATGAACCTTCGGGTTCCCTAAGCCATCTAATTAGTTAAGTAATTTGGAATATTTTTTGAAACGTAATGCTGCTAAACTGAAATTTGCCTGAGAGCGTGGCAACACAACCAACACAACTGTGGTATGGGTTGCAGTATTAACAACAGTGAGTGTACAGGTCTTTATAACACAAATAACAACAATAATTCAATACCTTATGCCACAAAAATTAAGGACAGAATGAAGTAGTTACGTAACATTTATTTTTAATTATTTAGTTATATTTGTAATGTCTGAGCATTTCGATTATCAGTTTCGACTAATGGCAATCGGTAAATGACCTTGTACACATTAGTGGCCTCTATACAAGCGGCAGAGAACTACGCCAGTCACAGCTGAGCTTTGTAAATATAAACACATAAGTCTGCAGCTGGAAGAAGACCTCGACGGTCTGCTACCGTCGAAATATCGCAGAACAGTAAGTTATCTTTCATAAAAAAATAGCAGAAATTACTCATTTACTGCATTTCAATAATCCGATGTGGTACTTCTGCAAATCGAATGAGAAAATAACACTTACTCGAGCATTTACTGAGTGTAAAGTAGTATGAATTTACGTCTGCTTTGTTCACTGTCCATGTTCAGTATTGTGAGTGAAAGTTTTACGTAACAAGTAATTGCTTTCGCAATTGTTACGTAAATTTCGTTCCCCAAAAATAGATTCATGACCCAAAATATTATGGTGCTGAAATTATATGCCTAGATATAAGGTCGTACGCCGTTTCTATGTGTTATGTTTTTGCGTTTCAATTGAAGATTTGGAAGTTTGCCAATGAGATAACCAAGCTAAAATCAGCTGTTTGGTGAAAGTGCGTCAAACAAAGCAGTACGTAACAGTGTATGTGGTGTTCGCGAAGCAGCGTGATATGCACAGGTGAAATGTGATTTTATTCATTACTGTTTCAGATTTTATGAAATGTCATCACTTTTAGAAGCGATAGATACAAAATATGGCAAAGAAGAGGCAGATAATTATGACCCTGATTTGCCTGTTGCAATTTACGTGCCGAAGAAGAGCCCAAGGAACTCAATCCCGTCACTGTTGGTGCTAAATGATTGTGATATTGAAAGTGCAGGGGATGAACAGGAATTGGAAGAGAAATGTCAAGAGGTTGAGGAGCTGGACCTAGCTCAGAACAAGCTGAAAAGATGGACTGAGGTACGTGAAAAGTGAAGGGAAATTACAGGAAGTGATAGCTTTGTGTGGACCCATAGGAAAAAGAAATGGTTTGGATTAACTTTAAAAAAGTTTTCACAATTGCTTTAGATAATTCCACATGTTACTATTAAAACACACAAGATTTGAGGAGGAGATGGTAGGATAACATTAAGATGGATCTAAGGGAGGAAGGGAGGTGGATGGAACTGACTGAGGAACATGTTCAGTAGTGGGCGATATTATTATCAACATTGAACCTTTGGGTTTTATTATCAGAGAGTCGGTATAAAAATAAAAGTACAAGTTTCGCAATCCCAAGTAAAAGATGCAAATGATGCTACAAGAAGTTCCATATTGTTATTTTCCCCCCAAAATTAATTTTTTAAATTTGAAAATCCTTAAATGAAACTCAAATGACAAAAACATATAAACATAATAATACTGAGCATAGGTCATAGTGATGTGATTTGAATTGTTTCAGCAGTGGATTGTCATTGCAGTGGAACGTTTATTGTGCCTGATGAACTAACTTCCAGCGACACAGACAGATGCCTATTTCATGATCAGTCAGTGTAGAACTTGTAGAGGACAGCAGTGGGATCTTTCCACATTGTTGGCCAGGCATTTCACCATTTTCGTCATTGACTCGTGCCAAAGACAAATATTTCTTTTATTTGATAAAGTGTTGGTAAATCAAACGACTTCAGAGGGCTGGGAGATTTGAGCCGTTGTCTCGAAAGACTACGAAAGGAGAATGAATTAGTCTGAGAGGTACTTAGGCTTCAGAATGTAGGATTATTAAATTTAGCCACGTTGCTTTCGTTTCAGGTGTTCAACATACTGAAGCATATGCCGAGGGTGAAGTTCGTCAACTTGAGTTACAACAACCTAACAGAAGAGCTTGTGAATTTGGACAATAGGGATCACTTCCTATATCTAAAGAACCTTGTTTTGAATGCTACTCGTATCAACTGGCAGAGTGTTCGGGATCTGCTACAGCTTCTTCCAAGGTTTGCTTCTTTTCTTTTCTGTTAAATCTCGAGCCTAAAATCATGTTTACTTTTTGGTAGCAAATTACAGTTATTTTCAACTGTGTACGAGCTGAGGTTTCCATGGCAATGTTAAGTATAGGTGGTGATCTGGGGTATTGCGCCAGGTTTGTTTTGGAGGAAATTTTCACATGACATTATTACTTACTTTTGTCAAGGAAAACTGCAAACGCCTATTATAGTGAGAGATCTAGAAATGAAAACGATGTTTAATTCACTGTCATAATTACAGCCTAATCACAGGCTTATCGCATAGGTCAGTGGTCCCCCAACCTTTTTGTGCCTATGGGCACATTTGAGAGTTTATGAGATCGCGGCGGGTACCAACCAATTAACAAAGCCAAATTTTCTTTTCTCTGGACAAATAAGATATGGACACCAAATAATACACAAAACAACACGACGTTTAATGATACGAGAAACCACGCAATAAAAAATACAATTATTATTACTCAAGTGGGAAGTTAGTGTGATGTTTGGCGCTGCATTTCATCAGCCAGTTTTTCAAATTTGGGAGTGTAGGATGATGTTGCTGCTCGCAAGCAATCGTCAAGATGGGCGTCAGTAAGTCGAGATCTGCGCTTTGATTTTATGATGTTCGTGGTTGAACGCCCTTCATTATTCAGTATAACCTCTTTCTGTAACACCGCGGGCACCCAAAAAAAGCCTTGGCGGGTGCCACTGCGCCCGCAGGCACCGCGTTGGGGACCACTGCCATAGGTTATAATTTTGCAGAAAATTACCATATTTTCCAGACTATAAGACACATCCAGATTTTAGAGGCAACATTTTAGAAAAAACCTAGTATGCCTTTGGATTATGATGCACACAGATTTTAGGTAGTATTTTTCAGGAAGAAAATATGTCTTATACTCGGGGAAGGATGGCACTTTTCTACATCTTATGGTGAAAGTTGTAACCAGAGTTCCATTCAGTGACTCAACTAAATAAACTTACTAACCCCTCCATGGTGACAAAGTGAAATGTGCTGTTGTAGTTTGGAGGAGCTGCATCTGAGCCTCAACAACTACAGCCACGTGGAGTTGGGTGATGAGGCAGACGTGAAGACGAGCCCTCGCTACTACTACAATGTGAAGAAGGTACACTTCACAAGGAATCCTGTAGCCACATGGCGAGAGATATGCAAGTTGGGCCTTGCATTCCCTAAGTTGGAGGCCCTCGTATTAGCTGAATGTCCACTGCAGTCACTTGACCCAGCTCTTTCTGTAGGGAACAGGTGTGTAAGGGGTCCAGACCCTTCCCACTTCATTGCTCACAGACGACGTACCGTTCAACACCGTATAGCCTATGGAGATAACAAAGTCACATTAAGTAAACTAAGACCTCATACTCAGAAATATTTCTCATTTATAGCAGTAGAAACTGACTCTTTAAAAATAACTTAGTTGATTTTGCTTTTTCAAGACTCTTGAAATAGGCGTTTCTATTCTTCTGCCCCCCCTCCTTTAATTATTGATGATCTCTTGTTGACTGGAGCATTGTTAAATTACCAGTGCTAAGGTAAATGTAAGTCCTTAATGATCAATTTTTAGGAAAGAAAGAATAGTTGTCCGAGTGTTCTCTGATTATTTTGGTGAATCCTAAATAAATTTTTATGTCTATGTCATTAAATCCTCACAAAATTGACAGAAGTGCATCAGAAGCAGATACATCTCCTGGGGGACGGACAGAGAGCGAGTGTGAATCCAACAGTCTCCCAAGCTTTGACTCACCCCACAGCTGCTTTAGGAAGCTGCGATTTCTTAACTTGAACAGCACGTTGCTAGCAACATGGGATGATGTGGAGAGGTTAAGCAGGTTCCCGGCACTGCAGTGTCTACGTCTGCAGAGTTGTCCGCTGTTTGAGGTGAGGGGCTCATTTAAGATATCTTCTGCAATCCAGAAAATGCTTAGTGAGGGCCTTGATGCTGGTAAGCACCTCTGAAACATCAGTTTCTGTGAGACTACACAGAACAACATACCAGAGTTACTCTACATGTATGAGAATACTGCAGTATTAATTTTATTTTGTGATTTTTTTAACATTAATGAATATTTACCATTTTACCCTCTTTAATGAAAGATTTTGCAATTTGAAATATTGAGGTTTCAGGAAGTAGTAATTTGTTTGAACACTTCATAACGAACTGAAGGTTCTGTTGTTTCAGTACCCACAGGAGTACACTGAACATGAGCGTCGTCAGCTGCTCATTGCCAGGCTTCCCAATGTTCAGACACTGAATGGAGGTGCAGTTATAGGTGAGGAAGAACGGGAGGATGCAGAAAGGGCATTCATCCGATATTACATGGACAAACCAGAGTCTGATCGACCAGAAAGGTGAGGCAGTTAAACCGTCCATTGTCAACCTATGTAAGGAACTGGATGCCAAAGAATCTCAAGATTTTTGTGATAAATTATATGCTCGAAAAATGTAGTTTTCATAACAAGAGTTTTACAATATTAAACCACTGGCATTAGATAGTTAATTTAGTGAGTGAAAAACCAAATGTTAAATTTGTTCTGATGATATATTATCATATTTTTCATAAATTAATGACTAAAAATATTTACCCCCTTTTACTTAAGTATTCAGAAATGCTATGGTATGGTAGTCCAAGTCAAAACTGTGCCAGTGCTGGATCATTTAACTGTTTATTCGTAGGTTTAGCCACAAATACATAAATATAGTAAGCTTTGAAATATAAATTAAATAACACATTAAGGAATGTATGCATAATATGATTCTGGTGCATTTACCAATATTTGACCTTCTGAAGTTGTTACATGCATACAGATACAGACGGAGTGATATTAATAGGTGCTCTGCAAGATGCAAATGTGCCTAAAAATATGAGGCCTTGTAAGATTTGAGGTTTTCACAGCGGTGAGTATGAAGATTTCCGTCTTCTGAGTTGTTGCACTGTGTATTCTGGTCGATGTTTACCAACGTTTCAGAGGTCATACCGCCTCTGTCATCAGGGCGATAAAGTATGACCTCTGAAACGTTGGTTAACAACGACCAAACTACACAGCGCAACAACCCAGAAGATAGAAATCATCATATGAGGCCTTGTTCTAGCCTCTCACTGCATTATTGCACTGTGGCATTGCAGATACGCTGACCTAGTGGCAGTACATGGGAGGCTGGACCCTCTGGTAAATGTAGATTTGAGCCCTGAGAAGCGCGTAAAGGTTCGGTTCACACGTGGAGAGGCAAGTGAAGTTCGCAGTGTGGTCGTGTACCAGACGGTACAGGAGCTGAAGCAAAAACTGGAGTCCATTGTTAAGATCCCCTCATCACGCATGAAGCTGTTCTATGTGGACCAGGACATGAAGGATATCACAGGACCTGAGGAAATGCGTTTTCCTAACAAGCAGCTGTACAGCTACAACATCTCCAGTGGTGATGAGATCATTGTTGATTCCAAACATTAGGCATAAAAACAAATTTGTTCTATTTCTTTAGGAATTGTTGGAGTCTCATTATCAGATTGTCATGTTTTCAAACATAAGACTATATAAAATTTTGCTGTTCTGGAACAGAACTGGAGACAATTGGAATTTGTTTCTGTTTGGAACATCCGAGTCATGTCTCCATTATCTTGTGACAGTGCAATTGGAATTTATGTTGGAATCATGATAAGACACCAATAAGCTAGCTTCCATACTAACAGCTAATTGAAAGTATGCCAGATGTTAGCATGATAGGACACAGAATGTTGAGAATAGGTAGATTATCTAGGTTCCTGTTGGAGAGTCTGGACACGTGCCATTTCTTGTGTGGCCGCTCCTGATAAATGTGGATGTCACAAAAATGGCTGTGCAAGCATTCCCTCACCAGCACTGCCCGTTGTGTTGAGCGACAATATTCTGTATTCGTAAAATGGAAACAATTTCTGTAGAGAATGACAGATTTAAAATATTTCCAGGTTTAAGTTTATGGCACTGCAGTTTTTGATTGGTCTGAAAACTGAAACTTGCACTTTTTCATTTGAAATTTAAAAAAAGATTTTCAGAAGAAGCTTTTAATGCACTTTTACCAGATGAAGATGCAATTTGCAATATTCTTAAATTTTATTTATAAGTAGCACAGTATTCTGCATCATTTGGACTAATGAATTTGTCATTTTAAACTCTTCATGTAACAATCTCTTTATGCTGTTTTATGAAAATGTTTAGTAACTAACTATATGGTGGTGGTCCAGTGATTAATTTTTGAAGCTGCTACACTGATAATGCTACTAGTTTCAAGTATAAGGACTTGTGAAAAAATTAACTTATTTTCTAGTCTCTGTTAGTGACATTTATAATTGTTAGTTTTTATTTTAATTATTTTTAAAAAATATATTTTTTGTTTCAGATATTTGTCTATGTTTAATATTGTTCTATAAACAGAATTGTTTTAATATCCTGTTTTACACAGTAAATTCTGATATCATAGAGACTTCCATACTTTGTTGTGTGTTGTAGAAAGGTTTGTTGTAACGAATAATTGAGCCATTGTTGCTTGCTTGAGAAACTGTTAGGAAGCATGAAAAAAGGTAATTAATTCTTCCAGCACCTTATAAATGGCCTCTTCATTTGTTTGTGTGTCTGAAACAGTGATCAGTGTTTGCCATGATCTGATTGGATGGCAATAGTTTCAGACACAAGATGTATTTTAAATGAGGGGAATGCTTTGAAGCTTTAAGTTACAATACAATTTGTTTCATCATTGTCACAATACATGAATGACTGCAGCAGTTTTGTGAGTTATAAAGGGACACTAAAGACAGCCAGGACTGAGAGATCTAAGACATTATATCCAATCTCTGAATTTTTGTGGTTCCAAAAACTGTACAGAATACTTTGTAGGATGAAGTTGTGGCATCCCAGTTAAGAAGGGTGAGAATGGTGCATTAAACACTTAGCAGATCCTGAAATGACTTGTGTTTCTTGTTTGGCTACATCATAGTTTGTGTGATGATGACATTTGCTTGAGTTATTCTTGTATTCTTACTAGATCGTCGATAATGTCTCGTCTCTTTATATGAAAGAGCGAGTGATAACCTTAATTGCAGCACTGTACTGTGTAAGATGTGAAGCTCAATGCAATGAATATAAAATCATGCATACAAACAAAATTGTTTACACTAGAAAGGACACTAATGCCACAGTTTTGTTTGTATGCATGATTTTATATTCCAATACACTGCACAGCATGCAAGGTTTTAAGATGAATGCAATGAGGTTTTCATGGGTGACCATTTGTAGAGTTCAGTGGTTTGGAGACTGTCCTTGCCTACATCTTCAGGGTTGATGTGATCACAAACGCACTGTTTAAAACATTGGATATTAACTCCATACTTACATGGATCATCATCTGAGAAGACTTCGTTGCAATATTGTACTGCTTTGTGAATTTAATTCTTTATGCTGTAGTAATTGTTGTGCAAATTGTTTTATTATAAAGTGGTTTATTTTTAAAAAAATGATTATTGCATTATGTACATTTGGTTGTCCTCTGTATTGTAAGTCCATTATATATACACAAAAAAGTGAGCCTTAAATGAAAAGTGAAGGAAAGTATTTCCAGTTGGACAAGACTGTACTTACTTGCAATGTAGGTAATAAAATGTAAATTATACAGATGTTTACATCATGTTGTGTGTTGTTTACAGCTTACCTTGCATTTGAACTAACTAAATCCCATGATCCAGAGTCCTTGATGTGGAACTAACAGTCTCAGACTCCTAAATCTTCCAGCTGTCTCATCCCTTCAGGTTTTCTGACTAAAATTTTATATATTTCTCATCTTCTCTGTCCATGCTACATACCTCATCCATCTCATCATACTTGACTTGATCACCGTAATAATGTGAGACGATGAAGAATACAAATTATGAGAGATTTTCTCTAGTTTCCAGGTATTCATCTCTACTAGATCCAAATATTCTCTTTAGCATCATTTTCTCAAACATTCTCATTCTAGATCGAGAATTTAGAACATAAACAGAATTATACAGTGCATATGGAAAACATTACATTGTATTACACTCTGCCGTTGTCTGCAGCAGTCTTTATTCCAGTAAATGCTCCTACGTTCCTAGACACCCAGTTTCCATAAATGATGGTCATAATGTGCAAGAGAGACAATGAAGTAGATGAGCAAGCTATGGTTTCGACAGCACCAACATCTCAACAAGCTTTGGAAAGAATGTTCAGTGTTACGTCAATGCCTGTACAATACAGTGTTAGCATCATTCCTTAAAAAAAGAAACAAACACGATTAAAACTCGATGCAGCATCCGGTGAAATAACCCACTATGTACAAACACTGTAATATTATCACATATAAACAAGTTTCTTACTTTTATTGCAATTTCATTTCCAATCGCTGGTAAAACAAACTTTTGCTTACAGTTTCACATAATTTATCTTCATTTCATACAAGTCTAAGCAGAAGCTCTTCTCATACCAACTGTGAGAAAATGAACACTGTTCTCTTCTTTGTATTGGCACCTACTGCTCTGTGCTGCTAGATGGACCTGCCCCCAGCTGAGGATTGGCAGGACTAGTTTCACTGGTGGTGCCTTGCAATGCCACTGCCGTAGCTGTGTTTTGGTGGACAATGTTGGTAGCAGCTGGTCTCAGTCCAGGACTGATGATTCGAGCATAAACTTGTTGTCGACCTAAGAGATTCACAACAAGCAAGGCTTATTTACAAATTGTGTCCTGAATTCTAACACACATCTTATTTTTTATGTCTTCTATAAAAGTGCACCAGTTCATAAGAGGTTAGATTCAATAAACACTGTGATGATACCAACCCTTGAAAAGAATAGTCTTACATAGAAAAAGGTATTTAGGTGGAACAAAAATGTTCCTCTGAAAGTTTCAGGACTCAAACACAGGAAACCTGGAGAAAGGTGGAAAACCATGGACAGATACAACATGGAGCGGATATGACTAACAAAGGAGGAATCATCGCACCGTGTTCAGTTCAGGCTTGCTTCCTGCAGTAAAAATTGATTTCTAATAGACACGTACACATCAAAAGATAACCGTATATGTTCAATAACATAAATTTATGAGAACAGTTCTTCAGATTGAACCCAGAATTTTCATTCCTGCATGGATGGCTGACTGCTTTATTTATTTTGTAACCACAAAATCCAGGTTATAAAGTCTGAAATTAGTTTCACCCAACAACTAAAGCCAACGAGTATCATTTCCTAATATGAAGAAACACATGCACGTGCACAATAGATGAAGCAGAGTTCGTGTACATGTGTACTCTGTTCCGACTACTTTACTTCACACCCAAAGGCTTGTTTGAGTTTACCTTTGGTACTAGCTGCAGTTGTTGCTTGTGACAGAGGTATCACCTTCAGGCCTTGAAGGCCCTGGAGGCCTTGCAGAGTCTTGATGTTCAGAGTGCCACCTTGGAAACCAGGTGGCAGCAGTATCTGCTGAGCACCGCCTTGTTGCAGCACCAGTGTCCCACCTTGAGCCCGCAGTGCCTGTGAAGCCAACACTACTGTCTGGTGGCCACCCGCAGCTTGTGATGTGAGGATCACATTCTGCAAACAACCCAAATTCTGATAGGAAGCTACAAAGCTAACCTGTACTGCCGTTCATATTGCAATTTAAATCTTATCCTCCTAATATGGGAGTCTTGACATAATAAATACATGAGTTGGGAACCAAAAGGGGTCATTATGCATAAAAGTGAAAGCAGATCTCAGTAAGTAAGAAGCAGGAAATCCTGTTAGAGGCATTGTCAAAACTGACACAGCCAAGAAATCAATTCTTTGTGCATTTACTTCAGAGTAATTTTGCAATTTTATTCAGACCCAATATCAACACGAGGATTTACTTTATAACGCGTAATAATCACCTGACCAGCTGCCCCCTGTATGGGTGTTGGCTGAGCTTTACTGGCAAGCAATACGGGCTTGCCGCCAATGTGAGCGAGGTTGAGACCACCAGCTGCTGGTCCTAGCATGCGTAAATTAGCGGTGGCTGTGGTCGTTGTTCCTGCGACCAAAGGTTTGCCTGCAGCCGTGACAAGTTTTGTGGCTTGTGGCTGTGGCTGCTGCTGTATT